TGTATTCTTCCCCCCCCCCCCCCCCCCCCCCCCTCCCCAATTCCACCAAGAATCAAGACTCTTCACGTATAGTAGAGGCGGGCACGACGGATTCCTTTATACTTCTCTATCATACTCAAGGGAATGCAGATACACTTCATAAGACTGGCTTGCGCGCCAGAATGAGCACTATCAATTGAATAGATTCTGATCCTCGGTGTGACAGACCATCTACTAGTTCCCAGGTGTGCATTAAAGCTGTTGATGGATATCCGCTAACCTTCCATCTACAGGGCAATCAAACACACACACACGTGAGCAAGGCCTTGCCGAGGTCACACAAAGCGAGTGAGATAAACAAAGCAAGTCCATGGATGCCAAATTATTGTCTTGTCCAATTATTGCATTCTAGATGTTCCTTCCACATCCCCCCAAATAAATAAGGGCAAGCCGTTGCAAGGTCCCGAAATACAGAGCAATCATCAGTCATCGTGCGGGTATTAGATAAGACCTTTTCTTAAAAGCTCCAAGCAGGTCTACTCAACAATAGAAGTCCTGGCCTTCTCGGGATCTTCCCCAAAGTCCTCCTTGGTACTAAGACCGCGGTGAGCAGCAACCTCCTGGAGGTCGGCATCATGCTCAGCGTCGAAGTTACGACCTAAACGCTCTGGTCCAGCAATTGTAATCAAAATGACATAGGCAAAGACACAGCCCATGAAGATACAGATGACCTTGCCGTACTCGTAGCGGTGGGCGGCTGTTTTGGTTGGAGGGAGCGGGAAGCGTTCACCGATGGTTGATTCAATAGTCGAGCTAGCGGAGGAGACCAGATTCCCGAGTTGGTAGGCCGTGCCAACAGCGAATGTGCGGATAGGTCCTGGCGATAGCTCCATAAGGTGGATGGGGATTACACCCCATGCACCCTGGACCATAAACTGCTCGAAATAGGCTGCCGCAATGACATTCTTGTTCTGGACAAATGTGTAAGGGTAGAGCAAGGCGCCACCAATGATGGAGATAACAATTATAGAGAACCGGCGACCGAAGATCTGACTGGCCCAGCCGCATAATACGCCACCCGACAATGCGCCCAGGTTGGCGACAACTTGTGTGACAGTGACTGCATTCTTTGAAAATTTGAACTGGTTCTCCAGCATGGTCGGATACAGATCCTGAGATCCGTGCGACTAGTCTTCATGTTAGCTTCTTCTGTTACTCGAATGGCTAATTCACATAAGCACATACCATGAAATTAAACCCAGACATAAGCAGAACCAGGTATATGAGCATCAGCCAATGTCGCTGCAGTGCAACCTTCCCTTCTGACATGAACGAGGCCGCAATGCCTCCGCGCAGTTCCTGTCGCGCTTCCTGTCGTCGACGGAAAGTCTCGGTTTCGCCTAGGAACAACCGGAAGATAATGATCAAGACTGGTGGACCAGCCGCAAACCAGAACAGCGGCCGCCATTCATGCGACGTAGTACCAACAAGGCCTCTGGCGAAAGCCGTGGCTAGCAGATATCCAAAAGCATAACCTTGCTGCAAGAGTCCTGAAATGATACCACGGGCTGCAGGCGGGCAATCCTCCAGCGCGGTGGCAGCTGCATTACCGTACAAGCCCCCCATGGCAATTCCGAACAAGGCACGACAAGCCAGGAACTGTTTATAAGTTTGGCAGAAACCGGCGCCGAGCTCAAGGACCACGAAGAGAAGCTGGTTGACGATGAATGGCCATTTACGGCCCCATCGATCGGAGGCGATTCCGAAGGTGATCGCGCCGACGGATCGCAGCATTAGCACTAGGGTAATTCCCCATGTGATGTCGGTCACGGATTTGTCGAATGTTTTGGCAAGCTCGGAGGTCGTAAGTGAGACGGTGAAGAAGTCGAACGAGTCCCAAGACCACCCAAGAAACGCGACCTATAGGGGTTGGGTATATTAGCCAAATCTTTTATTTTTCTTGCGTGTCAGCCCTACGGGGAGATCGACATACCGAGAAATTAAGCCACTGTGTCCGGTTAAGCAGTGTCAGGGCCTTGAAAGGGTTCGGCGCGGGATTCATCGGAGGCACGAGAGAGGAAATACGAGTTGAGATGTAGCGGCCGACACTCATATTCTCCTCGACATCCGGCGAGGATGTCGCCGCATACTGAGACCTTGTCTCATCCATAACAGCTGAGGATCTTGGAGCACCTGTGAATCGGAGAGTAAAAGCCTGATCCTGAAGCAAAGTCCGGAGGAAGAGAAGTAAGATAGATCAGAAGCCAAAGCAAGGGGGTCAGCTCAGCTCTAAATACTGCGCGGGAACCATCCCTCCTCTACCCCCCTCTATGGTCACCGATAGCGGACATCCCGAGGACCGAAAGAGTCAAACGAATGGCCACCGATGTCTACGGTCCCGCCGAATACAGGGATAAGACGTGATATTATTCGCTTGCCGTGTGTGCCACGCGGGGCAGCAATCTGGAGTCGGGGACGGGCACGAATGAGGGCAGTCTAAGCTCAGCTGCTGATCACAGTACGCTTATAGGGTATTGGTCCCCCAGAAAACAATTGCCCCCGTGGGGAAAAGTTAGAAAAAGCTTTCAATGAATTCGGAATGGTACGGTGTTCCGGCGGTAAACGCAGGTTGATGCAAGGCACGGGGCTCTTTTGGAGGTATACATTCTTTTATAGAATTCTTTATCTTTTTCACTTCTACGTTCTAAATTGGTTTTCACTTGCCTTTTCCTCCGACAACCTTGCGCTCTTTTCCGATATGTACTTTTGGATTCAGCGGATGACTGCCTTTAGCAGCTGTAGTATAGGTACAGTAGTACGCTCACTTTTAGTTTTGTGTTTTAACTCGAAGACACACTCCGGATCCTCTGCCCAGACCGCGGGGATGTGGAGTTTAAAATGGAGGGGAAAAAAAGGCTGGAGAAGTCCCCCACAATCACCGTGTCTTTGGACTTTCTTTCAAGTCGGGTCGACTGTGATAGGCCGACCGGTCAGCCTCCGTCTCAGTCTAATAGGCCATTCTACTGATCGCCGGTTTTGTATGCCAAACAAGGAAAATCCACATACACCCTGGACTTTGGACCTTTCATGGCACATGATTATAGGAGCATCTACTACAGAATCCGTAGTGGTTCATGATATAGTACACCAACCCCCCTAGACTCATATTTTAGCCTTTCAATGATTCAGCGGCCCGTAGTTCCTTGGCAGGGCTTCTCTGAAGTAAGACTTTTGAGGAGAGTAGACTGCCAAGCAGTAGAGGGGACAGTGCGTGGCCATGTTCGGAGAGGAGCCGAACATACCAAGTACCCATGGATAGGGTACGGGTATAGAGTTCTCTTTTACCAGTTATCTATTGCCTTCCCTTGACATCCCTGACCCTCGAAACCTACGACAAAGTCCGAAATCCCAAATGCGAGTCAGTTCTTGGCTTCAGCGCCAATAAATGCCACGCTATTGGCAAGAAAGCTTTTTTTATCACGCTCGGATTCACATGCTTGGCTACCCTGCATACACATATGCAAGTTGGGTTGGATCCCTTCGTGCGTGCACTTTGCGATTGGTGTCCATTTCTTTTTGTTCGGACATTATATATTGTAAGGGTCTCCACTTGTCGGAAGAACACGGTTAAATGGATAAGTCGTTGATATGCCACTTAGTGGCGGTTATCGATCGTTATTTTGATTACGAAGCGAGGCGGGGAAGACTTTTATCATAGATAACGCTGCTCGCCTTTCTCTTTGGTGAAATCTGACTACTAAAGGCTCTTTGGCAGGTTAGCCCAGTGAATTTAGTAGTGGATCCAGTCTCCACTTTGACAAGATCCGGGGCATAACTAGCGACAGAGAAGTTCATTCAATGACCAGCAAATTATCGAGAGGAACTTAATTCGCTGGATATACCAATTTTTATTGAAGTAAGTTGATGTTGCCTAGTGGACATTATCTTCTTGTCGCTCCAAGGTCACTTGGCAGGCCGCTTTGATTGGGCTTATAGGACGAGTACCAGAGAAACCGGTTATATATCGGGAGTTCTAGTTGTTATGGAGAACGTCTGGACCCTAGTCTCAAACCTTTGAATACGAAAGCAACAAGTTGGGTTGGATTTGATAAGACTGCTACAGGTTGGAACGATTCTTTCCAGCCTCTAATCATTTTCACTTCACATCATACACACAGTTGGCTTTGAAAAGTCGATGAATTGATGAAGGATTTGGAAACCCAGTTCAGATTTCAGACCTTGATACGCATTTAGGGATAGACTAGTAACAGTTAAAGTACCCGTGTCCTAGCATGGGATATTCTAACTCACACGGCGAGGGTTATAGTGCTGTTTTATTGGAAGATCAGTGGCTGAAGTCCCTTCATGCTTAAGCACCATAAACTTGATCTTAATTGACAGGTATGAGTACTGGGGCTTCTCTTCATGCTGGTTGAAGAACAAGTTGACCGAGTATTAATTTATTTCAATATCAAGTCGATACCGCCGAATACCAGGCAGTTAATACATCAAGGCAGTGGACCTTTCGACATGGAATCCGTCAGGCTCGAAGGACCATAATGAATGTATAAAGAACAGGATATATTGCCTTATTATCCCCACTTAAGTCGCTCTGGCCTATAAATATCTACCAAATCAGGAATGCTTCTCGGTTCCTTGCAGGAGCTTGTCAACTGCGGGGCGATAATCTTGGCGTTGACTGGCCTAGATGGATGCTAAATCGCAAATGCCGTGAAGGCCCACAATCAAATAGACGGAGATAGACTCATTGGTTACCTACTCTAGCTGAATAAAGGTTAAGCCACATTCTAAGATGACAAGGAGGCTGTGTTGATCTCCAAACCCCCTGAGAGGCGGTGCTCAATTTCCCGCTCAGCCCCGCGAGCCCCGCTGATGCCGTGTATTTATTGCCAGGTCATTCCCATATCTCACCTTCCCGTTCAGTTTATCCTAAATATCGATACTTATCATCCTACCTAACACTTACCCAACAACCGACCCTTATTTCCCCCAATATCAACATGTCGTACGGTGGACCCCCGCAGAATCAATACGGCGGCGGCGGTGCCGGTTACTATGACCAGCAAGGCCAAGGATACTATCCCCCTCAGCAGGGTCATTCCCCTCAACCACAGCAAGGCTATTACCCACCAGAGGTAAGTTTTTACACAAAGCACATGACATACTGTTGCACATAACCGAGTTGCACAGCCCTCAAAATCTCACTCTTCTCTCGTATTCGTACTGCGGCATTTATAACTAACTTTCCGCGCTACAGGGCCAGCAGGCTTACGGTCAACCCCAATACGGCCAACATCCAGGACCTTATGATCAACAAGGCGGCCAGGGATACCAGGCATACCCCCAGCAGCACCAGCAGGGCCAATACCCTCCCCAAGGCAGTCCTGGATATGGACAACATGGACAGCCTCCCCAGCAACAGCAGTACCCGCAAAGTAGCGGCGGCGAGAGCTCCACATACTATGGTGGCGCACCTCCGCACCAGCAAGGACAACCTGGTGCTGTAGGACAGGAGGGTGACAGGGGCCTCGGGTCGACGCTGCTTGGTGGCGCAGCTGGTGGGTTCATGGGCAATAAGATTAGCCATGGCATCCTTGGTACTGCGGGCGGAGCTGTTTTGGGTGCTGTTGGTATGAACATGGCAACTAATAAGCTGTGAGTATTGCCCTCTGCGCTATCCGTTTAGTCTTTTGAGTTGAGATGAGACTGACTGTTGGCGTCATGGGATAGTGGGAAGGAACAGAAGAAGCACAAGAAAGAGAAGAAGCATAAGAAGGATAAGAAGGATAAGAAGCACAAGAAAAGGAGCTCGAGCTCCAGCAGCTCCAGCTCGTCCTCTGATAGCGACTAATTGGTCTCGCCTTTTTTGGTGTAGTTGGTTACGGTGACTTGCATCCTTCAAATTTTGTATACCCTGTCTTTTTCTCTACTGCTTTTTCTGTTCCAGTGGCATCCGGCCCCGTTTAGACCCTCCTCTCAGGGGGGTCGAGGACCTCTACGCGTTACGTTTATCATGCATTTGTATTCTTAGTGAGATGACAGCCCATCAACAAAGTTGAATTATTGAATCATGCGATTATGTCTTGGATGGTGAGATATCCTGGAGTGCTTGTTAGCCTGCATTTCTGCCTCGTAGGTAGCCCTTCATTTCAGTTAACGGTGCACTTGAACGTGGGGACGACTAGAGCCATGAGTGGATTCCAAATCATGTATTATTACATTGGTTAATATTTTATTATTGAGAGGGTTGATGCGTTTCAGCCTTGTCTTCCTCCGCTTGGATTGACTTTTTGAAAAAAAGCCTCTGGGTCGATGCTACTGCCCAGATCGAAGGACAGCTTGGGGACTTCTTTTGGTGAATCCCACAAAAAGCGCCACTTTTGTGAAATCGGATTCCAGTGTTGTCGTGGCACAAGAGCAGACAGACGTTTCCATTGACGACGCATAAGCCTGACTGTAATTGTATGTGGTCGACCATTGGCATATTCGGCAAAGGTGGTACCCTTCTCAGGGCCCCTAGCCAGCAACTGGAAGAGCTCGCCACCAGACTTGGTCTGGGGAATCTGGGGATTTGAACATCTCCTTTTGACAGGCTCCCATGGCACAACCCCCGAGATGAGTCCCTCAAGCGTTTGGAGATCCTTTTCTGGTAATGGTGGAAGGAGACTGCTCAATGTAGTGTTGTACCATTGCTTTCGAATATTCTTCTTCCGAGACCGGGCTAATTCTTTGCCCCAGCTGTCCTTCTTGGGGATTGGCGGTTCCAATTGTTTGATCAACGGCCTAATGCGGGCTGCTGTAACCACTGTATTCTGCATTTGAGAGGCCGCGAGGCTCTTCACGATGGCTGGGGGTTCCCAGCCATCAGTGAAATCAGCAGGTCGGGAGAGTAGCTCTTTCAGAGCCAAAGAGTCGTTGGGGATTTCTGGCGTCAGAATATTTGCCAGCAGCTCATGTCGCCGTCTCCCAGTGCGACCGTATGACAGATACAACACCTTTTCGAGAGGACGTGAATAGCCTTCATTTGCTCGCCGCAGAACCGACAATGCATTTCTTGCTGCGTGAACCGCCTTAGGACCAGCCTGTGGGGAACGGGAGGAAACAGCACGATATCGGGAGATGATATGATTTTTCATGTAGTTGCGAGCGATGGGATCAGGTAGGTAGGAACATTCGCGCAGCGTGGCGCGAAATAAATGGCGCCATTGCTGTGGTTTTGAGAGATTGTATGCCCAATGCTGAGGTTGTGGTATGGCCATTAGGAATATCTTATTTCATCGCAATCGATGGGCGGAAAAAAAGAAACCCCAAAACGGAGAAACGCGAAATCCTTGGCGAAATGCGTGTCACGGGAACTCCGACGCGCCATTTTCGCAGTCTCTCCCCCCCAAACCCCGCGAATATTGCCTTGCCTTGCATTGAGCCTCGGATCTTAATATCTCAATTCCTACTTGACACCTTATTCGGTCGCTTTGTAGCTTTGAATGTAATTTGGCCTGGCCTACGGTTTCCCTCCGGAGGGTTAGCCACGCGCCTCCTTGAGCTCGCGTCATTCCAATCGAAATCCGGTATTTCTCCCCTTGCTATGCACTTTACCCCGTCATTGCCCGATTTGTATGCTGACAGTTCCCGGGAAGTCCAGCATGTCATATTCACAGGGCAGTACAGGGTCGAATGGAATGGCCTACAATATGTTGAATGCCTCGCAATCCCTCTCATCCACCCCTCGCGCAACTCCTCCGCCCCCGAAAGGATCTCAGATGTCCTCTTTCGGTTACACCAACGGACTCCCACGGACCAGTTTTGGTGGGTACGATGGAGGCAACGATTATGGGTCGGTAATGTCATACCAGGAGGAGTACAAACCACAGATTTACCGAGTTCGTGGTCTATATCCACACCCACAGAGTATGCCACTGACGAGGCTTAAAATAGGCTGTCTACTCCAATGTCGCTGTCTATGAAATGGAAGTTAATGGTGTTGCTGTGATGAAACGTCGATCCGATTCTTGGTTGAACGCTACGCAAATTCTGAAGGTCGCCGGTGTTGTGAAAGCCAGACGAACGAAAACCCTTGAGAAAGAAATTGCGGCTGGTGAACACGAGAAGGTACAAGGCGGTTACGGAAAATACCAGGGGACGTGGGTGAACTACCAACGAGGCGTCGATCTCTGCAGAGAGTACCACGTTGAAGAATCACTCCGGCCACTGCTAGAGTACGATATGAACCCTGACGGCTCCGGAGCTCCTGCCCACGAATCGACGATAGATACACCCACCAAAGAACAAGCAATGGCTGCGCAGCGCAAGCGCCTTTACAATGGCAGTGAGAATCGCAGCGCTTCACAGCCGCAGCAGGGAACTTTCTTCCAAAATATCTCGCGAACCGCCGCCACCGCTGTTAACGCCCTCAGTAAAGCGCGCTTCGACTCGCCCAGCTCTAACAGTCGTCGACCCAGCATGGCTCGCAAGCCCTCACAGCAGATGAGCAGCCAGGAATCCGGGCTTGCGTTCAGCAGCCAGCAGAGCATCTACAGCATGTCCGACAGCGGGTTTGGCAGCTTGCAAAATCGGTACCAGGTGCAAGATGACAACGACGATCTTGCGGAACCTCCTCGCAAACGCATGCGCTCTACTTCGCACCAAGCCCCACCTATCGGTCTTACTCGAGAACCATCCAATCTATCCATGCACGAACCTACACCCACAGAACCTAACGACTCCTTTTATCAAGACATGGATCTTCCTCCCCCTCCTATTGATGATGGCTCGAAACGTGGCGTTGAGTCCCTGGCACCTGCTTCTACTCCCGAGAGATTCCAGAAGATGAAGCTCATTATGACATTGTTCCTCGATAAACGAACAAAGGACTTCACGGATCACCCGGCCTTGTTGCAGTTGACTGGGGATGATCTTGAAATTCCCCTTGACGAGTACCGGAACAATGCCCTCCACTGGGCTGCAATGCTCGCCCGCATGTCACTGCTCAATGCGCTAGTAGCCAAGGGTGTCAGTATATCGCGAGTCAATGGTGCTGGAGAGACAGCCCTGCAAAAGTCCGTTGGAACTCGGAACAACCTCGATTATCGCAGCTTCCCACGTTTGCTGCAGGTGTTAGCCCCTACCATTGACATGGTCGATTACAGCGGACGTACCATCCTGCACCATATCGCCATGATGGCTGCGACTGGTGGCGGCGGACACGTTTCCGCAAAGCATTACCTGGAAGCTCTTCTTGAATTCATTGTACGCCATGGCGGTATGGTCTCAAATGCGAATGGAGACCATGCGCCAAATGGGACCGCCAATGGTGAGGTCATCTCCTTGGGGCGGTTCATCTCTGAGATTGTCAACCTCCGCGATGATCAGGGCGATACGGCCCTTAATCTGGCAGGGCGTGCGCGCTCAGTCCTTGTCCCGCAACTCCTGGAAGTGGGTGCCGATCCTCACATCCCAAACCATACTGGCCTCCGACCTGCAGATTACGGTGTGGGTGTAGACATGGTCGATGGAAACTCCCAATCTCAACAACCGGCCAATCGGAATGACACATTCATTGATCAATTGGCGAAGTCGAAGAAAGAGATTCTTGATGGTAAGCGTCTTCCCCCCAATACTTTTCTTTTTACTAACATGAAATCTAGCGGCAATGTCCCAAATTAGTGCAATGGTCGAGGAAACACTTGGGGGAATTGACCGAGAGTTAGCTTCGAGCTTGACACAAAAGCAAGAAAGTTTCGACCACTGGCATACAAAGATCCGCGAGTCTGCCAAAGCTCGGCAGATTGAACAGAAGCAATATGATGAACTTAGACGCAAGGGTTCTGAGCGTGTGGAGCTAGACCGGCGCATCAAGAATCTAGAGCGGTCATCTGAGGGTCTGTTGGTTACAGTGAAGAACACGCCAGGGCTGGATGCAACCAAGACGGTTGTTGTGGGTGACGCAGACCGAGATTCCGGTGTGGATGTCGCGACGTTCGACGCTCTATTCCCCGAGGGTTTCGACCCAGCGTCCGGGTTTTCAGAACACCAGGCCGGCTTCCTGGCTGCACTGCCAGCAACAGATCTGCTTAGCCGCCAGGCACATTGCTACAGAGAATTCAACGGAAGGATACTAGCTGAAGTCGATGGCCTGAAAGCAAAGAACGCAGTTCTTGGCCAGAACTACCGTCGCATGGTGATGGCATGCACGGGCTGGACGGCGGAGCAGGTAGATGAAGCCGCAGAGGGGCTCACGCAATGCGTCAAGGAACTGAATGACAATCCCGTCCCCGAGGATGAAGCCATTGAAATCCTGATGCGGGATCGCGGGCAGGACTGGTAGTTTAGTCTGGTGTGTTGCATTATTCTCTGAGCGTTTAGGCGGCTTGTTCGGACGGCGTTGCTTCACTTGTAATACAAATACCCTAGTGGCATGCATCCATGCCCGTTGGCACATGTCTTGTTATTTATGAGAAATGCAATTCTGGTACACTTGATCAGCTGTCTTGGCCTCTTGGCTGTGTGCCTGTGTAGGCTAAATGTCTCGATATTAGCCGGTTGAGTTGGCTACTGGGCTTGGTGGCTTGAAGCCCCGTGTTAGTTGCCGAGACATCATTTATCCTATCCCCCGCGTTTTGCTTGATTGTCGGACTTTTGGATAAATACCCTGCTGTGGAGCAGTACTTATAGTAGTGCGTAGCACCTTCTACCTACCCCTGTAGGTATCATTGTAACTTTTTCGCAATCGCCATTACATCGCTGAATCAACAACATGGCTACCGGTTTCCTGCACGTGAAGGGCGATACTATCGTCGACGGAAATGGGGAGGGGGTTGTGATGCGAGGAGCTGCTCTTGGCGGATGGATGAAGTATGCAGACGATCAAGTTTCGCTAGTATTTCCCTGTCTCCGAACTAACATATCGTCCTGAAGTATGGAGAATTTCATCACGGGGTTCGCCGGCCACGAAGCCCAGCACCGCGCCGCCATGCGTCGAGTTCTAGGACAAGAGAAATACGAATTCTTCTTCGACAAATGGCTCGAGTACTTCTTTACTGAGGCGGATGCCAAATTCTTCGCTGAACTAGGACTGAACTGTCTGCGTCTGCCTTTCAACTACCGCCACTTTGAGGACGATATGAATCCCCGTGTGCTGAAGGAATCAGGGTTCAAACACCTGGACCGAGTCGTTAACCTGGTCAGTGTTTCGCATATGCCTCATACATAGGGATAATGGTATCAGGAAACGGGCTAACCATAATGGGCGTATAGTGCGCAGCGCACGGGATCTATACTATCCTAGACATGCACGCCGTCCCCGGCGGCCAGAACCCAGACTGGCATTCCGACAATCCTACCGGCTATGCTGCTTTCTGGGATTACAAGGACCACCAGGACCGGACAATCTGGCTCTGGGAGCAGATTGCCACCAGGTACAGGGATAATCCTTGGGTTGCTGGATACAACCCGCTTAATGAACCTTGCGATCCTGAGCATGTGCGGCTACCCGCATTCTATGCTCGTGTTGAGAAGGCGATTCGAAAGATCGACCCGGATCATATCCTGTGGCTGGATGGGAACACCTTTGCGATGGAGTGGAAGGGCTTTGACGAGGTGTTGCCAAACAGCGTGTATGCCATGCATGATTACTCGGTAAGCTTCGCATTCCTTTCCGAGTCCATGAGAACATGGGGGTTTAGTATACTAATATACTAATACGATCTAATCTCTAGTCAATGGGGTTCCCCACTGGTGATCGTTACAAGGGCACAGCTGAACAAAAAGAACGCCTTGAACGCGGGTACCTGCGCAAAGCGCAGTTCATGAACGAGAACAAGACCCCTGTCTGGAACGGGGAGTTCGGGCCCGTCTACGCGGACCAGATATTCGATGTCGATGCCCAGACTGTCAACCAGGAGCGATACAATCTCCTTGGCGACCAGCTGCGCATCTACGACAAGTATAACATCAGCTGGTCGATCTGGCTCTACAAGGACATTGGGCTGCAGGGTATGATCTATACGAATCCCGAGAGCAAGTGGAACAAGACGCTCAAGCCTTTCTTGGACAAGAAGAGGGACTTCTGGCTGGATAAATGGGGCCGTCGGCCTCAGTGTGAGCCTGAGGCGGCTTTGAAGCCTTTGCTCGAGTGGATTGATCGTGTTAGTCCCACTGCAAAGGATACTTATCCCACGTCGTGGAATACCGAGTTGCATGTCATGCGGAATGTGTTTTACACTTTCTTGGCGGCGTCGTTTGTAGATGAGTTTGCTGAACTGTTTCGAGGAAGCAGTGAGAAGGATCTTGAAGAGTTGGCTAGGAGTTTCCACTTTGAGGGTTGTGTTCAGCGAGAGGGTTTGAATCGTATACTCAAAGACCACGCACATGCATCTCGTTGAGTTTGGGCAAGGGTCGGCTTTCTATAGCATTCTATAATAAATTGGACATTCACAACTTGTTCTAATGCCTTAAAAGTGCGAGAGAGGATGGATTAATAATAGATGTGATGATCTATAAGCAGAGTGTGGCAATAAGTTCCGTTCCTGACGACATCGCCACTTTTGGCTTGATTCCACGCACTCCTGTTATCCACACACTATCGATAAGCCAGAAAAATCGAAAAAGATCGCGGGGCACATTCTCGACTTCAAGATCATTAAAGGTTACTGGAGGGATTTAACATGGCTGAATCTCCTGCGTTTCCGTCCAATCTGGACAGTATCTATGATGCCGCTTCACCTCTCAAAAACAGCATCGATCCAATCCGATTGACGTCAGACAACATCGTCCCGATCCTCAACCTGCCCCTCACTCATAAGGTGCTGGGTCACGATGCCTCAAACGAGTCTCTTGCACAGGTTGCAAGCGGCGAGATATCATACACTACCTTCGTCGCCGCGCAAGCCCGCGCCGCCCTTGAGTCTAGCGATGACTTAACCACCGAACAAAAACAATCGCAGCTCCTGCATCTTGGGCTAGCAGCCTTGTTCAGCTTCCTGCAGTCCAACGTCACCGGTCCTCCCCTTGAATTCAGCTCGGCCGAAGCTGTCTTGCCCTCTGCCCTGCGAACCGAACCCATAACCCTCAAATCCGTGCGGGCAAAGATCATCCGTGACCTAACCCTCGACGGAGAAGCTGCCTACAAGCTCACACCCAACCCGGAATTGTTTGCTGTCGCCAAGGCTCTGCTGGCCGATGCGAGCAGCGATGGACCGCTTGTCGCAAAGACCGCGCGTATGCGCACCAACTTCCTTCACCAAAAGATGCTCTCGGAGGTCACGAGTACTCTCCAGGATGTGATCTACAAGGATGTTGAGATCCTGGACAAGGCTGAGTTGACCTCAGACGAGAGGAGTCGGTTCCTGCTGGAAAGGGCCATTATCCACACACACCACGGATTTGATGTCAAGGCACGGGAAGATATTGATCAGGCGGCCAAGGTGCGGAGGTTCGAGTTTGCGCTGACCGGAAAGATGGGCAAGCGCACAAAATTCCAAGACCGTGATATCAGTCAGCTGGTCGTATTGGCTAAGAGTGCTGATGAGACATCACAACCTTCGGAGCTTTCTGGCCCTAAGAACCTCAACTTGGACGACGACACCCTTCTCGAGGCCATCTCTTTCTCCGACCAAAAGCCCGACGAGCAATCCTTGGCAATTCAGGATAAGGTTTCCGCATCTTTGGATGCTATCGATGCCAACAACCAGCCCATTCTAAACCCCGTTGACTCCGCTCTCCTCCTCGCACTGGCATCTGCCATTACTAACACCTCGCCTGAGAACGGCCTCACCCGCGAGGAAACAAACCCTTACGCTACTCGAGTGCTCGATGGCGGCAGCTCCAACTGGCAGATCTATACGCAAGCACTTCTGGTCCGCAGTCGGGTAGAGGGCTACCGTTCCCGTACTGTTGAGAGAGCCGTGCTGCAGATGCAGGCTTTGGTGGATCAGGTCATTGCAGACACCGCAACTAGCGATGACGCAGCTCAGACCGAATCAGGCGACCCTACAACTTTCCTGCCGCGCCCTGAGCAGTCTGAGTCTGCCCCCGCCGCTGATCGACTCCAGCACATCTGGATCCTAAACTTCTCAACACGCTGGAGCCTCGAGGCCGAGCTTGCCAAGCGATGGGTTGATCTCGGTGGTCTGCGCACCGCACTCGAGATCTACGAGAGACTACACCTGTGGGCCGAGGCCGCGCTTTGCTATGCCGCCACCGAGCGCGAAGGCAAGGCGAAGAACATCATCCGCCGCCAGCTTTACCAGGCCACCGGCCCAGACGAAAATGACGAAAACGAGCAATTCGACGGACCAGAGCGGTCACCACTACCAGCAGATGCCCCACGTCTGCTCTGTATCATGGGAGATATCGACAAAGACGAAAAGATGTACGAGCGCGCCTGGGAGGTCTCTGGGGAGCGATACGCCCGCGCCCAGCGGTCCCTGGCCCGCCACTACCTCACCTCCACACCACCGCAACTGGAAAATGCCGAGACAGCCTATAAGAAGAGTTTGCACATCAACCGCCTGAACCATGGCGCATGGTTCGCCCTCGGCTGTGTGCAACTCGAGCTCCAGAAATGGCAAGAAGCAACAGACACCTTCACCCGCACCGTTCAGCTCGACGATACCGACGGCCAAGCCTGGAGTAACCTTGCCGCGGCGATGCTGCGCATGCCACCCCCAGAGCCTGCCCCAGAGGTCATCGACGAGACCACCGGCGAAGTCTCCGCCGCTGAAGTCGACCCCCACAAGCGCAAGCGCGAGGCCCTCTCGGCTCTCCAGCGTGCAGCGCAACTCAAGGGTACCGACGCACGCATTTGGGACAATGTCCTAACAGTTGCGGCGTCCATCCCGCCGCCGGCAACACCATTCCGCGAGGTGATTACCGCGCAGAAGCGCATTATTGAACTCATCGGGACGAAGGAGGGCGAGAAGTGCGTTGATGTGGCGATCCTGGGCATGCTCGTTGATTTCCTGAACGTGGCATTCGAGTACGAGGCATTGCTTATTCGCTCTGACGATCCATCTGAAGCCCCGATTGTTCGCACTGGCACTATTCCCGGCCAGATCATTTCACTGGTCGATCAGAATGTCGTCCCACTTATCACGCACTCTTCAGTGCTGTGGCAGATCGTTGCTCGCGTTGAAGTCTTCCGTGGTCGGCCGTCCAAGGCATTCGAGGCTCACGAGAAGGCGTGGCGTGCTACTATTGCTGCTAATGCCCAGGGTGCTTTCCAGATGGGTGATGAAAAGCCCTGGCTTGAGGTTGTGCGGGCTACGGAGAAGCTTGTTAGGGATGGATATGCCAAGTTTGGTCCTATGGACCGTGAAGATCAGAAGGTTGAGGGTGATCAAGAGGCCGAGCTTGTTGCGAAGGACTGGCGGTTCAAGGCTCGAAGTGCCGTGAGAGGAATCATGGGCAAGGGGAAGGACTTCTGGGATGGCACGGAAGGCTGGGACCGCTTGAAGCAGTTGCAGTCTGAGGTTACGGGCAATTAGTACATATAGCCCTTCATGCTGTTTATGAATCATCTAGATTAGCTCGCTGATAGCAAGTGCAATGTTTACAAAAGTCATATACCAAGTTCAGCATTATTCGAGTCTCCTCATGTTGATTGATAAATCGAGGTTATCCTTACCTGTGTACAGCTAGAGTCATGGTTTTATGGGAATCACTTTGATTCCAACTTCCTCTTCACCATCCCGCAAAAGCTCTCGAACAAGACGGTGTCTGTCCCCTGCACCCAGCGGACTAAAACTCTCACCTCTTTCTCGTCCAGTTTCTGCCCGCGGACCAGCCGTATCTGCAGACGTATTCCCAGCGCGACCTGGGCGGGAATCACCTTCAATTTAGCCGCACTCTCCTCACCAGCAAGTTTCATCTTCCGGCGGGCGAATCTTGACCACACATTCTCTGCAGTGAATCCCGTCCCCGCAGAACGTGTCTGATCCCAGGCCCAAAACCACGGCAACGAACTGAGTTCTGCATTTATCGTAGCAGTGGCTGCGTCAATAGATGTGCCGGGTGGTAGCGTGAATGTGTAATCTGCAGGGAAAGGTAAAAGACTCTTCGGGCAGCCGGGGATTCCACGCGCAATGTTCTAGACTAGAGGTTAAACATGGCGCACAAAACACAAGCATGGTGTGAGTAAAAGGTGGTTAAGTATGACTTACCATGGCAGGCCTTCTGTCTCCCCATGACCACGCCACGGCCCAGCGCTTTGTCTTGCTTCCCTGCTCAAACTCAGTGACTGCGAAATTGGTGACGCCGTGCTTGATTAGCGTCTCTACGAGTACGTTGATACTACTCAATTTGCCGAGCATGGATGTGTACCACTGAATGCGGTCACGCAGCTGAAGACTTTCCTCGATCATTTGCTTCACGAAAGCTACTTCTCCACCGCGGGTCACCATTTCCACTTCGGCGCCGGTGCAGGTCTTCGTGTAAGTTAGTACGGGACGGTACGCAAGTGGATAAGGTGGGCTATGTATAGATGTTTGGCACGGGAAGTGGAGCTAGTGACACTCACTGAGAAGGGCTCTCGTTCTTTTTGCTCGGCAGATTGCTTCAGCTCATCGGACGAGGTGTAAAAGGGTGGGTTGCACATGGCGAAATCAAGGCTAGTGAATGGTCAGTCAATATTCTACCAAGTCTCAACTCGAGGAGACTCACGTTTGGTGTCCTAGCTTTTCTAGTGGGAAGAGTGGTCCTGTGGGGTCGGAATGTATGATCTGAATGCGTGATTCCAGATTATTCAGAGCCACGTTATGCTGAGAAGTGCGGGTATTGTTCGGGTCGATGTCTGTCGGGTTGATCAGTGGATACTGAAGATCCTCGGACTCAAAAACGTACCTGTTGCTACAAAATTCCACCGTGGCCGTGCTGCGCAGCCCAGAAGGGGGTAGATGCTGATGCATCCCGTTCCACTGTGCTTTGTCAGGCATGATAAGGAGATTGGAGGGACTCATTACGCACATGTCAAGGCCAAAGACATCCCGGTCTCGGTCATACCCCTCATACAGGCCTCCAGCGGTGGAGTCAAGAAGGTCCTGTAGCCAGAGGATGTAATTGAGTCTATACTACATGTCAGCGTGTGGGCCCAAGCCGTCATTCGGGAGGACATACCTGTTTGGCACCTGAAAATCAAGTCAGCACATATCCATAAATTAGGTTCATTATATGCATACCGGTGGACACAGTCGATCCTCGGGGATTTCAACCTTCAGGTGAAAATCTTGTTGCAGGAGGGTGGTGGTGAGTTGTCTGCATGATGTAAATCAGATCCATTATCGGAATGCCAATTGTTTGAGACATCCGGCTTACCGGATGGCGGCTGGATCAGTAAAGTCCAGTTGGCTGTTTTGGTTCAAGCTGTATTTAATTAGTACTGGTCTTTTTGTCAGAGCACAGCCCGTTTCACGTACTGCTTGGCGAAATCCCGTGATTGCAGCGCCAAGGCTGCAAAATCGATGTCGTTTTTGTAAAGGCTTCGGGCGGAGTCCATGGCCAAGACGGGGTTTCGGGGTTTCGGGGTTTCCTTGTAGAGGTGCTCGGTGTACTTGAGGTTATTGATAGAATTGGAATGTGGTTGGTTACAAAGAAAACAAAGTCCACGGCGAGGGAAGCTGATGTCGGCAAGTGGCTACGGATCACGCGAGCGGCCATATGGAACTTTGACTGTGTTGGTGCACGGCAGAAACCACATAGAACATATATGACCTACATCAACTTATATAATTGATTTTAGAAAAGAACTGCCATTAATTATAGACTTATATAATGTAACAAGTCGCAGTGTGAGAGGTTTAAAATAAAGAAATAGGATGTCTATGGGGGGATACATAGATCCCAACTAAGGCGGAGAGGAAAGAAGTTCCAGTTGGCTGCTATCGTCAAGATTTGACCCTACAGCAGCGTCTTACATAGATATAGCCCTACACAAAAAGAACGTTAAAAAATCCTCGAAGTGAAATGCTACCCGAAGGCAGCTGTAATGTTCATCTGTCTCAATATAGATGCAGCTAAAACAGAAAATCAGATAATCGCCAAAAGTATGAGTAAGAAGTAAAACCATATTGCACCGCTTGTCGTCAAGTCGTGATAGGCCTCCATGCCCTACTATGTACTCTATCCCCTTCTATTTTCAATTTCGTCCCGTTTTCCTACCAAGATATATTGATCGCTTTCATCATTTAAACCGAGTCTTCCTTCATTCGAAGGCGCTCTTGGCGCTCAAGACGCCATCCATAGCCCCACTTCGTCTCAACCATGAGAAGAGGGACCATCGCGAGGGTAATGCCAGCGAGCAAGACAAATGCAAACTGGGCAGTGAGGCTATCAATAATAGACGGAGCAGCTGCGACGCCAGCAGCACCAATCAAACATCTCATCAAGTTGTTGATCGCCGTTGCACTAGCACTAGCACCAGGGTACAAGTCGATGACGAGGGCGCTGTTAATGGTGAAGATAGCGGTAGAGCCATAGGCAATAATAAACTGCAGGATAATCGGGACTGCAATGTGTGTCCGGAGGGACACTCCGTACACAGCGACACAGGCAATGAACGTAACAGTGATCCACCAAGTGTTGCGCATGCGGGCGTACTCGATGGGGAAATCGGGGTGGCTTTTCAAGTTGATGCGGGTTTCGATGGGAAGGTTGTGCTGCTGACAGTATTCGTGTTCTGTTCGCTTGTGGTTGAAGTCCATTAGGTATCCGATTGTGTAGGAGCCGGCCATGCATCCGAAACCATTGCCAAGGAAGGTGAGGCCGACTTCCAGTGAGTTCAGACCATATTGTTTTGCGAATAGGTCGGATGTCGAAGAAGTTACCATCGACCAGACTGTGTACACAATGCTTCCGTACAGCAAGGTGATAAAGACATCCTTCTCGAATAGAAAGGTGAGGGGTGCCAGCATGGTCCTGAAGGTCACTTTGCCCTTGTTTCCAGAGGGTGTTGAATCTTCCTGAGCATCCTTCTGTCCGCAAATGGTGTAGATGATTGGCTTGTTGATGCCCTTGAGGGGAACCGTGCCGTTGCCAGCGATAGAACGGAGGGTTTCGGGGAGGAAGAACATGATAGATAAAAGACTAAGTCCGGCTGCAATAACCAAGAACCAGAAGATAGATCGGAACCCAAGGTACTGAGTGAAAATTCCACCAAATACTGGTCCAACTCCCTGGCCCAACATGCGGACTGGATACTGTTAGCTTATAGAACATAGCAATATATCCGAGTAACGGGTCACTTACCACCACCAAAGATTCCAATCAGACTGCCTCGCTCCGCTGAAGTCGTAATATCGCCAATGACACCAGCACCTAGGCAAGTTAGCTAAGACACAAAACTAGGATGATTGTTGTATCGTACCAATTGAGATGGTGGCTGCACTTCCGGCAGCCTGCAGCGCTCGGAAAGCCATAAGTTCACCATAGTTGACAGAGACGGCCAGAGCAATGTTTGCAACAATGTATACAACAAATGTTCCAATGAAAAGCACACGACGGCCCAATACATCGGAGAAAGAACCCCAAAAGCTCGGGGCAAGACCTTGGACAATCATATATATCGTGACGGTTAATGTAGCTAGAGACATGGAGATGTTGAGTTCCTATATTTCCGTTAGCAAGAAGTGGCCAAATGTGTTACTCCAGTCAACTAACATTTGAAACGTCTGTGAGCGCAGGGAAGTAGATGTTCGAAGATAGCGGGGAGAAGATGGCGGCGAAGGAGACAATAATGACGATCCACAACTTGCGAGACCGAGTGAACACATGATAAGGTGGTGAAGCCGTGGCTTGGCTTTCAACGTCGGATGACTCTGCTGGTGTTGTCGATACCGTGACGTCTTTCTCATCCCGAGGCGTGACATTAGGGCTTGAGATGACCGACTTGTCTGTGACCCCATGATCCCTGAGGGTTTCTGTTGAACTGAACTGGGACAAAGTCATGATGAAAATTTACTATAGGATATGAAGACAACTCTGGATATATCAACAAATACAAATTCTTGAAAATAGAATAGGAAGTATGGCTTCATTCGGCCCAGACAGCTTTAGAGATCTAGGAATTTAAAATTACGGAATGGAGACGCCCTTTTGTATCTCAGTTCCAGCAAGAAACCCCTATAGGGCCAGTCCAAAATTACAAACAAAATATTAAGCAGACCCATGCATCTGAGAGTCTACTAAACGTACTCCACTGTGGGTTCGACCAGGGGGATCACTACACCATCCCCTTGATGGTTGAAAATGGCACGGATAAGACAAATCTGGTAAACCCAATGTCGCTCAATTTGATACGTACGGGCCATGATCCGCACTTGGAATACTCGAAGTCCAAGTCCAGGATTCCCACAAGATTGCAGAATGATTTGTGTCTCTATTGCGGATGGCTGTGTGTCTATTGTGTCATTTCTAAGCCTCGAAGGCTGACGTCTACCCCAGGGAAAGAACATTCCTGAGCTCCCCACGAGTGATTTGAGGTCTGGTTGACTATGGGTGAATAGTATTAATGCCTAAGCTCATAGGGCAGATTCCAATACCCACAAGAATTCCTTCCGGTCTCCATAGACTCGTGTACAAAGGAGTCGATCTGCACTGCATCTGTATCACACAAGTCCGGTTTCACCCTCAAGGTTTGCAAGTCGGAGAAAAGATGACGGGAAAAATCTCTCCAACACTTGCATACGGAGTATGCCTACTCGGCTTAGTTCCGTAGCATCTTTTGCGTCCAAAATGCCCCGAAATTCCGCAGGGCCAAGGATGTTGATAAGCTGGTTAACCAATCCACTAACAGTTTCCAGGCCATCCATGTCTTGCCAAGACGGCATGCCAATTTCAGATTATAAGAAAAGAGAAGCTGAAACCCGATTTCCTGTTCCAGAGTCTCATTTCATCCACGTGTAGAATATCAGCCATTACGATCACTATCTGTCAAGCAAATGCCAAGCTTCGTCATTTGCCCTGATCAATATTGATTCAGAGGAGGTTATTGGACAAAATATGCCATTGGCTTACGTGTGCATTCCCCCTTGATGAAACTGTATAGGGGATGTTGGCCCTTGCTGCTCACAAGTCACCAATCGGGGACCCGTAAAGGGGGCGGCTGGATTCAGGGTTTGGCATCACAACCCAATGACGATGCATTATAATTCCAGATAAGTAATATCCGCAGGCTACTGACCAATGCAGCTGCATTGTCACACAGATATGGATAGAAAGAATGTGTCCAAGACTTTTTCTCGGGACAAGGTTCGCGCTACTGTGTAGAAAGGAGATGATCGACAAATTGAATGGTTTATATGGAATACAACGTACATACATCCATACATACTAGTAATTAGTGCGTAACTACAGTATATACTATGTTCTTTGCATATATATACCAATCAACGTGTCGATCAGACCCACAAGACGCCTCTGCTCTGCAAGCTGTTCCGCATAGTCTATTATAGCGTGGTGAAGCGTATCTGACTCCACTGATCCGCGGCGAAACCCCTAGAATCCGCAGCGGGCCGCCAAGATCTCGTCGTGATTGATCATTAACTTGCACATCGCTTCATAATTGAGCGTCGACATTACACTTTCGGAGTGTTTTTCTATCTCGATCCCAACTATCAGCTCGGTTAAGGCTGGACAGGGCCGTCCCTACCCTGTAAGGCTGATTGGATGCAGTTTCCTATCTTAGCAACTATCTCATTCTCAATTTTGATGCCTAACGCCAAGCCCGTCCTCCGGCTTTACGGCGAGAACGGCTTTGCCGCGGATGCCGATTTTCGGGTGCCCGATACCATCTTCGTTAGTGCACGTTGGGTGGCTCAATTAGTAGATTGGCCTGGCATGGTGCGAGATCCCCACTTCTAAACAATATAGGGGTCCAGACCCCTCAGTTGGAGTAGGGTTGCAGCTATTTCCAATCCTTCAAAGCCTCCCAAGCCTTCCGAGTCATATCATGCATGTTGTATGTTGAAAATGGATCCTTTTTTTGGACCAGGGCCTAGATTATCGTAATGATAACGTTGCGCGCACATCTGGATTTGGTAAAGTACCCGTGTACTGTTGTAGCGGGATCTTTCTGAAGAATATCCCAGTCTCTTCAGCCAGTAGATCTCAGCCCCACAAGTTGCAACAGACCTGAGAAACGTCTTTAGTGAGAAAATAATTAATCTATAACAATGAATACATGCCCAGGAACCTCATATAATTGGACTAAACGGGCTGTGGCTGCTGCATGAGTCTTGGTGTAGAAGAATTCATCTCATCAGTCCACTGCTTACTTGCCAAGCACCCCATGGCCCCCAATACAAGATTTTCTCTTTGTGTTTTTTTCTAACTGCCCTATCAGAATTTGGTTTTGCCTTACGCGTTCTCTCCAAAATTCTTGAAACAATAGTTTCTATCCTCTATAGCTTTCAAATCTGGCAGATGTAGTAGATCCCCCTGACAGGTACGACTATTCCCATTTGAAACCCAGTCTAGTCATATAGATCTAGTGATAGTGGCAAAGAAAGCAAAAAAGATTATTTCAAATCTGTCTGTGTTACGAACATATGAGGCTGTGTCTAAACTATTTGGCCTAGCGCTTCAATAAACAAGCGCTTTGACTAGTGGATTTGCAGATCTGAAGCAGCCCCTAGCTTTGAGAATACGCCAAAGGAAGCTGACACACACAAGCTAATATAAAGAATCTCAGAGTGTCCTGCTAAGAATGCAGGGCTAATTTACAGCAACAGACACCCTAGCATGTCGTCATCGTACGAAATGATGTCCTCAATGTCATCCCCCAAACTGCCGATCATTCCATCATTCTCATAGTCGCCGGAGTTTCCTCTAACAAAAATGTTTAAAGTGCTGCTCAATATTAAAGCCCCGATCTCGTTGTTTTTGCGCAGCTCAATATAATGGTCCTGCTTAGCATCATGTTGTTGGGGACCAAAACAAAGATTTAGATAGGACACTCACGGGCTCTCTTTCCCGAATGCATATCCGAAAGGTCGACCCCACAGGGTCCTCGGAACATCCCTGATCTTCGACATATGGAACTCGCGTGTGAATCCTGCGATTGCGTGAGTTTATCCTACGGATATGACAATCTGATAACGCTGTGGCGGAAAGATGCATGTCTCATGATAAGGACCGAACCGGGTTATTGAGGGAAATTACATTATATTTCACTTATAGTGTATCCCGTACAAAAATAGTCGGCTGCATATGCACCGCTCTCACGTCGTATTTCTTAGTAGTCTTTTCGAAGATCTTTTTCAGTCTGTGCAGATGTATTTTCACCTGTTCTTCTGGGTGGTCTTTCTTTTAGATATTCTCCCCTATGTATGCTATAGTTAGAATACATGTGATGACTTCAAATGTGCAAATCGAGTTTTCTATGTATGAGCTTTACTATGATAATATTGGACATTCAACTAAAGAACAGCCATGGGAACTACCCGAGGGTCATGCCACCTAATGTAGACTGGCGTATCCTTTTTTTACTACGAAGACATTCACGGCCCCACTTGGGATTTCTTGGCGCATTTCGCGTAATAGTGAGGATTTGGCGGGACGTCCGCACCTTTCGGAGTGTTTACAGCGCCAGGGTCTAGATTTCTCTACTAGCCTAGGCGAAACAAGGAACGGGTATCCTAGAAGGCATTTTATACGATGTCTATCTGCATGTCTAAATCTCCGAGCCGTGATGAATTCGGCATTGGGAGTTCTCGGCCCGAGTAGTCCGATTACTTCATTATAAGATTGTAGCTTGAACTAAATAAAAAGATCTAATTGTTTACGGGCGATATATATATGTATCTATATAGAGTTTAAGCTTGATAACAAGTACACACGTGAATGTAAATTCTAAACTGTTGTTTATACAGTAATTGCAGTCGGGATTACCATGCTCAATGCACGGCGGAAATATAGTTCGGCTTTTGTTCGGACTAAACCTAAATATAGACCTGAATATAAAGACATTTCGTAACATTACGAGTTAGTGTAAGAATTTTTTTCATAGGGCCAAATAATGAGTCCTGGTGATGACCTACGGATATATATCACCTACGTAACTACGGATGTAGCGGTGTAGGTGCACCTGTTGTTATGAAACTAACCAAGAAATGACTGACCGATCTTTGCGTCTCTAAAACCGTCGTCAATACAGCTGTAATCCAATTGCTGGATTTGCTGGATATCGCAATGTCCGTGTTGGCCCCCATTCTATATAAATATATGACGTATGTTCGGTGGAATGTATACTCCGCCCAACAGCTCCTATTGATGAGTGCAAGTGTATTTAGATATTAAAACACTGATTGGATGTACACGTGGAAGTTTTTAACGTGACTGTTCATTTATGATTTAAATTGAATGCTACGAACTTTCAAGACACATGTCCAAAGATCTCTAGATCGTAAAAGGTTTCATTATCTCTATTAAATATGTCGCATCTCCAATACTTCAACTACGACGGCTGGGGCTAGAAAGCAAAATGAGTCTTCTATTACACCCAAGCCACCCGCAGTGGTGATCGCATCGAATGCGCAGGGCAAGGTATCGACACGAGTCACGAAGCCTCGCTTTCCGAATGGATAGATCGTACTGCTAACATCGTGAACAGGTGGTTAGGACCCGCGAACCTTTGTGATCCATCAAGGAATTAATGCACAGATCGACCAGGCTTTCGCCAACGTGAACGTGAACCTGAAGCACGGCGGAGGAAAAGGCGGGGAGCAGGTATTTCGGCTGAACTTGTACCATGTCCTGATCAACGATGAGGCTCTCGAGGCCGATGGTGTGGAATTTTAAGAAATAGATACCGAGCCATTACCCCATTTGGGAATGTAATGGGGTAACGAGGCTCGGCGAGGATGATGTGCGGGTTGATATTGAAGTTGTAGGTCGTGATCCACGAGAGATCGAGATCGGAGGGGACATGGCGCGAGATGAATTTATGGATCATGAATCCATCTAGCTCTTGTGTTGAAGTGGCGTGGGTGGCCAGTGCCACATGAAGAAGCGTATTAGCCTAAGAATGGGAGAAGATGCCTTCTCAAATATCGTGATCTTAGCGTTTGTCGCCTCTACCACCACCTCGGCCACCCCTACCACCGCCGCCTCTGCCGCCTCTTGTTTTGCCCCTTCCTCTCCCACCCATCATACGGCGTCCTGACGCCTGGACGCGATCAATGTCGTCTTTGTTCAGGTTCAATGTACCTCCCGAGAACTTGCCCACGGAGGATCCAACAACACCGCGCTCTCTTCGCCCATTGTTGCTCGATTTCTGTACCTTGCTAGGCTTCTCGAGAATGATGCCGTTTTCCTTGGCTTCTTGGCGGCGCCTGTCTTCCTTTGAGACAGCCTTAGCTTTGATGCCTCGTCGGTGCGCAGTAGGCATTTTAGTTTGCGCATAGAGCGAAGTTTTGGCTCCAAGGGATTGCATGCGCATATCCAAAGCCTTCAAACGGTTCTTTCCAGTAGGAGCGAGGTCATCAGCGGAGTCAAGAAGGTGTGACTCCTTAAGTAATCTTTGCAATGCAAGATCATGCTTGAGGTTCGCAGAGTCGTGGGCATCTTCTTCTTCTTCTTTTTTGGATGTAGGTTCTGGCTCGGTGCTCGGCTTATCTAAGTCGGACAACAGTTTTCCACTCTGCGGGTCTGAGCGTTAGCATTAAATTTCAATGTATTGAGACCTAGAGATCTGGCACATACCATAAACGCCTTCCACGTCTTCTTGTCCATTCTGTCTTCTGGTGCCGCGTAGACATCCGTGTGCTCGACCACCTCGACGTGGTTGCTCTCCTCGCTGATGTCAGACATCCCATCCCAGTCACCTTCTGACCCAGAGAGATCAGAGTCATCCTCGTCCTCGTTTTCTTCTCCAGCGGAATTTGTAGATTTGGCGGTAGGAGCTGGCAAATCGAGTGGCTCGAATTGCGCTTCAAATAATCTGCGGAATACGTCCTGCGCATTGTCCACTGGAGGAGGGCTGTCTTCCTTGGTCTTGGGCTTGGAAGCCACAGTGGTTTCTCTCTTTCGTTTCACAACCATGGTGGATATGCTGTTGACCAAATTGTAAAATCGAACATTCGCGTCTCGGCCCCAAAGTTTTTCAGACTGGAGCTCAAGATCACGTGCGATAAGGATAAGCCGCCCCTCGATTCATAGCCCTGGAGATCGTCACGAAATCCACTTATTCTCCAATTCACCAGAAAAAAAATGACCAAGTTCAGGCCGTGCATTGATCTGCATTCAGGGCAGGTCAAGCAAATCGTGGGTGGTACGCTCAGCCAGGTAGCCGCGGACCTGAAGACCAACTACGTATCCAAGTTCCCAGCCAGCCACTATGCGGGATTGTATCAGAAGCATGATTTGCGTGGCGGGCACGTTGTGAAGCTTGGACCAGGGAATGAAGAGGCAGCCCAGGAGGCATTGAAGACATGGCCGGGTGGGCTGCAAGTGGCCGGGGGTATCACTGATAAGAATGCGCAATATTGGATTGATCAAGGTGCAGACAAGGTAAGCAATTGGACTCCAGGACGGATTACTATTTGTTCGCTTGGCGTTGTCCTTGGTCGAGGACACAATGATATCTATTCTTTTACTTCAAATTCCTATTTGGTTGCGCGCCGTCATAGCATGAGTCCGATAACGCTAATCATGTGGAATGCGGGCTATAGGTGATCATCACTTCATTCCTCTTCCCTGGAGGCAAGTTCTCTCTCGAGCGGCTCGAGTCGGTCCTTGCTGCCCTTGGCGGTGACAAGTCAAAGCTGGTCTTGGATCTGAGTTGCCGCAGAAAAGATGATACTTGGTTCGTTGCGATGGACCGCTGGCAAACCATCACTGAGATGGAGATCAACCAAGGTATGTCGTGATACTGAATCCAGGTTGATTGTTGGCTGACTGACACTGTGTAGAATCGATTTCAATGCTGGAACCATATTGTGCCGAGTTTTTAATCCACGCTGCAGACGTAGAGGGCCTGCAACAAGGCGTGGATGAGGAACTTGTTTCAAGACTGGCTGAATGGTGTACTATTCCTGTAACCTACGCAGGAGGTGCACGCCATTTACAAGATCTGGAAAAGGTCCACACCAGTAGCAAGGGAAGAGTGGATTTGACGATTGGCAGCGCGCTAGATATCTTTGGCGGCTCTGGAGTGACGTTCCAAGAATGTATCGAATGGAACAAAACGCATTAAAAATATAACATAAATCAAAACGAATAGATTATATTAAAAAGATTATGATGAGCCGAATGATATTTCCCTATCCTTATATTTACTATTTTATCGAAGAGATGAAAACAAAACAAGGAGGAGACGAGTCACAGGTGTGTCTGGACTTGTCCTAAAGCGGCTTAGGGGCTTGCATCAACTGAAGGTCCGCCCGCCTCCGTATCTCAAGTCTTCAACGTCAACTCTCTGTATTAGCCGATTTGCGACCACCCTTCTTCAACAAACTACCTATCCCGCTCATTCTGCAACACTCCTTACCTAACATCAAACCGCCAACATGAAGCCCGTCGTTTCTGCCTTGAACGCCTGGTCTTGGTACGCTCCTTCATCCCAAACAGCATCCATCGAAAGTCCTAACACCTTGTTCCTTGCATAGTGTTATTATCTCCGTTTTCGCAATCGTCATCCTCTCAGTCCTCGGTTCGCTATACAGCGTATGTCTCTCCGACCCTGACGTACCCATCAAACCCTCCAACGATCTATTGTCATAGACCTACGTAATATGAGGTTCACCGGCTAACGCGAAGATCCTAATTATAGAGCAACAACCACGCATACACCGGATCAAGAGACGAACCCGAAGATGGCCCCGCAGTCGCCGCCTCTATTTACACCGCTGTGATCGTCTACGCTGTACGTCATTCCTCCTCTCTAAGCGTTGCACGAGGAAAGGAATCGGTTACTGACAATGCGCTTTTCTGGCTCATAGGGTTTCTTCGTCTTCTGCGGTTTCCAGGCTTACCTTCACCTGCGAGACAGTAGGGGAGGTGCTATATCACTGCATTGAAATTGCCTTCGTCCCTTTTCCTTCGATGTCTTCATGACACATTTATCTGTCGATTTTTAAATCTTGGAGCTTTTATCTCGGGGTTTCTTGAGTACAACACGGTGTTTAAATTTGATGCGTTGGGAGTGATTCGCGGCCGGGAGAATATTTTCGATTCTCTGCGGTATGAATCACCTATTTCTACTCTGTGCGACCTGGATTCGTCTATGTTATAGATGAGTAGGATCGGACTAAGCTTCAAAGGCGTTGGCGGGCAGGGTTCCCGGTCTCCTTTGCTAGAATACACAGATGGCCGACCTGCGACTTGTACATAGAGCACTCATGATTATTTCCAGTTCTTTGATATCTCATTTTTTGTCCATTGGATGCATCTAAAGATAAAATTTGGTATAGACATTCAATCATTTGTCCTTCGTTGAGAAGAAATCAAGTTTTTGTGAGACCGCCAACGCCAGTAGATGCAAAATCAGATACCGAGCCTCAGCTGGGCATCTGGTTTCTTTTTTTTGTTTCCCTCTTTGTTTCCTGTTTTTGTTTCTGTTTCCTTGCAGGCAATTACTCCTCGTCCTCCCATGGATCCAACATCTTGGACATGTAAGGACCATCAAGGGAGTACCCAAGACGAGCATAGTAGCTACGCACACCCACACCGGAGATAACACTGATCTTGCGACTACCGTGCTCCTCGCGGGCAATACGTTCCGCCTCCTCCATCAACAAAGTTCCAAAGCCACGGTGCTGGAACTTGCGGGCGTCACGTCCGTGAAGTGGCACAGCAGAACCGTAGACGTGAAGCTCGCGGACGATACTTGTCTGCTGGCCGGTGAACTCAGGACGGAATGTGTGAGTCTCACTGCACTTGCGCAGACGAAGCAATCCAATGAGAATATCCTGCTTTGGGTCTTCGTATGCCAAGAAAGTCTCCCATCCGCCATTGGCAGCGTAGTCACGGCGGATCAACTCAATCTGCGATGGACGGATCTTGTTCTTAACTTCGTTGATACCGACTTCTCTCGTGCGGACATCACGGCAGGTTGTACCGAAGTCCTTCATACGCGCCAATGCCAGTTCGCGCAGGTTGCCGTTCTCCACACCGGAGGTAACAAGTGGCATGGGGATATCACGCTGGACTCGGTAGATACGGGTCCACGGGGGAACTAGGGCAAGAATGCGTGCGACAAGGTCAATCAGTGCGTTAGGTGTGTAGTTCTTGTAACGACCGGTGCGCCAGAGCTCGTAGAGACCGGTGCCTCGAATGACAAGCGTGGGGTAGAGTTTAAGACCGTCGGTACGGAAGTTGGGGTTTTCGAAGTACTCCTGGAACTGGAACAGATCGCGCTCCATTCCAACGTTAGGTAGATCGGGCATCATGTGGCTGACAACCTTGAAACCGGCATCCTTAGCAAGCCTGAACGTCTCAGCTACTGCTGCTACAGTGTGGCCGCGGTTGGTGTCTCGCGCAACGTCCTCGTACAGACTCTGCACACCAATTTCCAACCGCGTGCAACCGTAGCGGAGCATGCTGCTCAGATGTGTATCCAGACAGTAATCTGGCCGGGTTTCGATTGTGATACCCACACACTTCACGTTGCTCATTTCGCCTGCTAGCACGGCCTCGTCAACATTGTCCGTTTGGTATCCGCTCAGCGCATTGTGAAGCTGGGAGATGAAGGTATCTCGGTAATCTTCCGGTAGCGACATGAAGGTTCCGCCCATGATGATGTATTCCACCTTGTCCACGCTGTGGCCGAGAGCTTTGATCTGGTCCACACGTCCTCGCGCCTGCTCAAACGGATCGTAACGAGCGCGGATCGCGCGCATCGAGGTTGGTTCATATCCGGTATATGACTGAGTCGAGTATTCGAAATCGGAGTCGGGGCCACCAGGGCAATAGACACAGATGTTACCGGTATACGCGATGTGGGGGCATCGATGGGGTTTGCACATAACCGCCACCACAGCGATACCAGAGGAGGTTCCTATGAACGAGATTAGTGATAGTCCAGTGTCCCCACTTGAATGTAAACGTACGGATCGGCTTCGCAATCAGCTTTGGCAAGATGTATTTCTTGTAGTGCTCAGGTACTGCCGCGATAATGGCCGTCAGTGGTGGCGAGTTGGACAAGCTGTGCTTCTTCGAAAATGTAGCCCGCAACTTGTTGAGATTGAGATCCTTCTTGGGCTTGGTAGAGTCTCTGTGCGACTCGTAGTCTTGAATGAGAGCATTTGCAATGTCGGAACATGCTCGCATAAATCGCTCGTTCTCTGGGACGTTCTTTGCGTTCTTCTTGGCGGCCCTTTTAATTTCCTGCGAGGTCATAGTCATAGTAGCCATGGCGAAGAAAATAACACCGCGCCTAGGCGGGAAGTGTTTTCAATAACTAAAAGCGATAAGTTGTACTTAGTGGGGGTTGAGGTTGATTAGATCGAAAAATGTGGTGGCCGAGGCCTGCGCCCGAGTTCAGTTCCGCTTAAGTAAAATAATTATCCCGAGCGAAAACTCCCGGGTGCGTATCCCGAACACTTGCCCTTTATCCCGTCCTTTTCTTTCTTTCCACCTCACCTCATATACCTCACCTCTCCCCTCATACATACAATCTTGCAGCAATGCAGGCCTTCCGCCGTAACACCCTCTCGGCCCTTCGCAATGTCGGTGCCACCCAGCGTCGGACTCAGGCCACCTCTGCCTACAGCGAGACCTTGAACAACCTTAAGATCAACAAGGACACCCGCGTTCTCTTCCAGGGTTTCACTGGAAAGCAGGGAACGTAAGTGCAATCTTTGCGCTTTCATTATCGCACGCGCATAATGCTGACTTTTGACCTCGACATAGCTTCCACGCCGAGCAGGCCATCGCCTACGGTAAATATCTGTCCAACCGCGATCGCATCCAAACAATAGCTTACACAGAACAGGCACAAATGTCGTCGGTGGTACCAACCCCAAGAAGGCTGGCACCATGCACCTTGACCGTCCCGTTTTCGCCAACGTTAGCGATGCCGTGAAGGAGACCGGTGCCACAGCTTCCGCCATCTTCGTTCCGTATGATCAATCAACGTATCTCCCGAAATACCAGGAAAACGATGCTAACTACAATTAGCCCCCCTCTTGCCGCTGCCGGTATTGAGGAGGCCATCGCTGCTGAGATGGGCCTCGTTGTTTGGTACGTGTCCAATTGAACTCCCCCTTGAAAATAACTTTTTCTGACAGCTTCTGGTCCAACAGCATTACTGAGGGTATCCCCCAGCACGGTATGGATCGATCGACCACCAATTTCGAAGCGCGCGAACTGATTGATTTCATATAGACATGGTCCGCATCACCGACATTCTTAAGACCCAGAACAAGACCCGCCTGATCGGTCCCAACTGCCCTGGTATCATCGCTCCTGTAAGCTACCACTTCAACTTTCTGCAATAATTTGAGTCGCCAAATACTCACACATTTCGTTCAATAGGGTCAATGTAAGATCGGCATCATGCCCGGCTTCATCCACAAGCGCGGTCGTGTCGGTATCGTCTCCCGTTCCGGTACCCTGACCTACGAGGCCGTCAACCAGACCACCCTCACTGGTCTCGGTCAGTCCCTCGTCGTCGGTATCGGCGGTGACCCCTTCTCCGGCACCAACTTCATTGACTGCCTCAAGGTCTTCCTCGAGGACCCCGAGACCGACGGTATCATCATGATCGGTGAGATTGGTGGTTCCGCCGAGGAGGATGCCGCCGAGTTCCTCAAGGCCAACAACATCCACAACAAGCCCGCCGTCTCTTTCATTGCCGGTATCTCCGCTCCCCCCGGCCGCCGCATGGGTCACGCCGGTGCCATCGTCAGTGGTGGTAAGGGTGGTGCTGATTCCAAGATCGCCGCTCTCACCGATGCTGGTGTGATCGTCGAGCGCAGCCCTGCTTCCCTCGGCAAGACCCTTCTTGCTGAGTTCGTCAAGCGCGACCTTGTTTAAGCTTGTCGCCCCTTTTGATGCATCGCGTGTCTTGTTGTCCTGGTTTTGAAGACGGGGATCTGAGGTATATGTGCCACTTTATACTATGGGGTTTTATGGGCTGTTCCTTTTCGGCTGCTCCTGTATTCTTTTTCTCCTTTGTGTTAGAGATCCTTGAAGTAATCATGCTTGTGTAATTATTACTGTGTGCTGCCTTTACAGAGTAGATGGTGGAAATATGTAAATATATGGAAACCATTCTTTTCAAGTCCACGCAGCAGGCTCCTTGAGCGGTTCCTCCCTCACTATTTACCTCGACCTGTCTTCATTCCAATTCCCATACCGGACATCCATGGTAAACATATGGGTCTAGAAGTCCGCACGAATTGCAGTGAAGAACGGAAGCCACCTGGGCAGCTAGCAGTAGTAGTTCTGGAAGAAAGTGGAATTTGATATATAGTTCCCTGGGATGGGGCCAATATTCCAATTTGAACACCTGATGCTATGGGAGGTAGACCCGATATTTCGAAATACCTCTAGTTTAATATTGGGTTATCATGGTTGACAACATTACAGAAGAGGCCCGCTCTCTGCCACCGGATTTTGTGGATTTCTACTCCATACAGATATCTACAACGTCTACAGGTCAGACTACAGAACATGGACCGACGAATTGTCTCTCTCATCCCTCAAGTGCATTTGTGTATGATACATGCATGTTATATGAACTGAATAAACGAACAAATACAGAACTGTGTGGCGGGTTGCCACTACATGACAAAAACAGTTGCTTTTGCTCATGGACAAGGATGGACCAGGTCCCAGGGCGCCTCTGGGTCCTAGTCCCCTCGCCTTTAAGCTCAGGTCAACTCTCACAACTTTCGATCCCTCATCCTCTCCTCCAGCTTCTGTATAATTTTTCTTTTGATGCCCGCAGACATCACGAACTCCTCGTCCCTCTCCTCGATGGGACCCTCGTCTTCCCAATCGCTCTCATCCTCCTCGAATTCCGACGCACAGTCACCGAGGTCTTGGTCTGCCTCAGTGCTGTCACCCTCGTCTGATTCACCCCTCAGAAACTCGTCTTCGATGCCCTCCCTATATCGGAGCTCCCACTTCTCCCACTCATCCCACTCGTCTTCTTCATCGTCCTCGATCGTGGGAAGGGGGATGGGCTTGGTGGTGTCCCCATCAGTGAGGGGCCACGCCCATTGGAGTAGGATATCCATCTTGTCGGTGTAGTCCTCCGCATCGAAGTTGAGTGCTTGGGTATAGGCCACTTTGAGTCGGCCGTTGTCGAAATACCCATGCAAAACTCGAACTCGAGCATCAGGGAGGAAGGAAATGACCATTGTCTATATAACAGTCAGTCAATTATGCCCGGGGGAGTGATTTAGAGTGACTGGACTTACCGGAAAGTCAAGTTGGGGACGCTCATGTCGGTGGTACCTGCCGAACTGGCGCTTGTGGCTTTTGATTCCACTAAGCATCCATCGAACAAGTACTATGAGCTCTCCAACTGACGGGAGGGTGTCATGGTAGCAGTTGTCGCTTTTCATGACGACGAGTTGGTGAGCGGTCTTTCCGTCGGCGCTCGTGGCTCCCATTTGAATGGTGAAGCCGTGCTGGTCGTTACTGTTGAAGAGACTATTGTCTTCTCCATACATGCTACATTTATTCAAAGTTAGTCTTTGGTATTTTTTCCTTTTTTTCTATTTATTGGGGATTATACTTACGGGACCAGCTCCCAGAAGATAGGGGTGTTACTGCCCCCGGGGGATTTGCGGAGGTACTTCGAAAATGCCTGGTAGAGTGGATGGTGCATCTCTTGGGGGATGAAGTCTTGAGTTTGCTTCATCGCCCGAACCCACGTGAAAGGGTCATCCACGGGGTCCTCGGGGTTGAGTGCAGTGTTGGCGATTTTGAAGTTGGTGTCGGTGTCGGGTGTGAAGAATTGGATGAGGGAAGGATCGGTGTTCCCTGTCCAGAAATCCATCGGGTGGAGGTCAATATCGGCAAACTGGTTTGATATATAACCAGGTTGCGAGTAGCGGAGCCCTCTGTAGAGCTCCCGGAGGCTGTGCTCCTTTTGTCTAAAGAGCCAAACCCAGAGAGGAGGGTACATTGTGAAGCCACCTGGGGATTGGAATGATGAAGAAGGGGGGAAAAAACAGAAGGTGCAGTCAACGGGGGTTCTTTTATGTTGTCCTTTGGTCAATTTCTGGGTCTGCTCCGACTTCCAAGACTATATCTACTATACCTAAATAAGATAATGACTGGGTTATACCCGTGGATTTGCTCCGTATGTCAACACGAACCAAGCCTAAATTGGACTGATTCCCACCTATAAAGCTTATTCTTCATGGCTGGAGCTCTTCGGACACTGTATTGGGTAGCAGGTGGCTCTTGCCCAGGTATATGCCTATTCAACAAATGATATAATGTATACATAAGAACAAAGATACTACGGTAAAAGAAAACCTTGTATACCCCGGCTTCCCATGGGGCATCGGCTTGAAAATGAGAAAAAAGTGAGGTGACAATGAGGTGAAAGTGAGAGTGAAGAAAGGCTAAAATCCATAGTAAGAAGTAAGTGAGAGTAAGATGAAAGGTGTGTGGGTACCATGGCTTTACAACACTGTTTATGGACAGCATTTATAGGAAACTCCAATGTGTCTGAGATAGAGACCCAACCCAGTGATTCTGTATTTACAATAAGTGGCGAGCAGGCAAGACGTGTACCAAAATTGACCGATATCCAGAGCGCCCAGACTCAAGTGACTATAGTAGATTAATAGACCAATAGGTGTGTGAGGTTTTCCAAGAGATCTTACGAATACGAAATTTTAGATGTTCGAGAGTGGAAGCGCTAAAGTCTCTACTAGTTATTGTGCAAGCGTTAACCTGATAGAAAATGCTATAGCCATGATCTGTTTAAATTTAACCATGGGCCCTGTATATAAGTCGGCCTTCTCCATCTGGTTAGGTTACGACCCGCTCCTACATGCTGTTCATTATAGAGACAAAACGTATCTCAAAGAGCTGGTTTACGTGCACAGGTTATGAGCAGATGAGAGCGTTGGTTTTGGGGTATCTTGAGTTGTCATGGCAGGCGTTTCCAATTTCATGATCGTGACAGCCTTAGGACTTGCGCGAATTCAACAACTCGGGGTTAAGTCCATTATATACTCAAGACACTATCACACTAGCTTTGAATCTTGCTCAAAGCCTCAGTAACCTCCTTTGTGGAAAATACATCCGCAAATTCACCATCGAGGCTAGCAACAGAAACCCTCTGAACAGTCTCCGCATCAATTCCAGCCTTTCCAAAGGTCGCCGTGGCATCCTCAACAAGCACAATACGCCCTTTATCGACCTTTGGATCATTTTCATGAGTCCCATCCAATCTCAACCGCACAGGCCCATCTCCAAGATACCGATCCACAACCCCGAGATTAGCGGCCATTCGTACAGTAGTTGAAACACAATGATCAGTCGTCAACCCAGCAATAATAAGCTGACGGAATCCCTTTTCACGCAAATGCGCTTCAAGCCCAGTACCGATAAAAGAGGAATTGACACTTTTCCAAAAGACAGGTTCCGACCCATCTGAGAGAGGGGTGGCGAAGTCTAGAGGACGGATACCCTGTCCAGGGTTGGAGGGGTGGAACGGAGATTCCGGAGTCGTGGAGGAGTGAAAAACGTGGATCACCTCCAGCGGCGTTGAAGATGAGGACCTTGCACCTCGGAATGCGGAGAGAAGTGCTTGAAGGTTGGTTTCATAATTCGGGTTGGATCGTGTGCCGCCCCAATGGGATATTGTCTTTGGGTCGGAGAAACCTGATTGGTTGTCTATCAGGATCAAAGCTGTGGGGAGGATAAATTCCAATGCCATTTTGTAAGTTTGGGATTCTGATTGTCGAGTTACTGCTTATTAGTGTCTTTTGGAGATATTGGTGAAGTTGTAACTCTCGAAAGGTTTTTATACGGCTTTAGGGCTGGGGCTTTTTTCGTGAGTCACCCGCTCACTAATCAACCTGGAAACCCGTGGACATCAACAGGATTTACAACGTTGGAATCTTGATAACTTCATATTTTTTTTGGATATATAGGAGCTGAAACCTCTGTAATAGCCCAGTAACAGGACCACCTTTTCTACCTTTCAGCTTCTCGGCTCCTTTCAGAGGAAAAAAAAAAAAAACATTCTGCTTCCCAATTCCAAAAGCTTTCACCAGTTGGCTTCATTTAATTTGGCTTTCATGCACTACATCTCGGAATGAAAGCAGTATTATCTGGCCGTCAATCAATCTGAATTTCCTAGGACAAATGTCGTAATCTGAGGTTATATATCAACACTACGCTCGAAAGAGACACGTCGTACCCCTAACCATTCTAACAATTTTTCTCTGTCATGCCCGACATAGCCTATCGATCTGGGGAATACTGAATACTACCTCTCTCCGTCAAGACGAATGGCAAGCAGACTGTAGCAAGCTATTAACTTCCTCGCTGGGAAGTTCTGAGCAGTCAAAAACAATCTCATCCTAGCCTCACAAGGCTTCCAACCCTACTCCGTAGCCCGATAAACAAAGATTCGGAAATGCTCACACATCTATGATTTATATTTCATATATTTTCCTAGGCTCGGTCAGTCAAAGCCCATAGCCCAACCCACCAAATAGGCTTGGTTTTAGGCCCTATCTTTAGGCCCATTCTGGTCCATAATACGCCCTAAACAATACAAAACATACCAATTTATTATAGGTATATAATTAATACATTTTTCTCTGGTTTTTTAAGGTATTTAAATTACCGGCATCAAACTCGGCGACGGAGGTTCACCTTGATAAAGCGGCAATAGTAACGGTAGTGGTAGTAGTAGTAGTGGTAGTAGCAAAGACGAAGGATAGACAAAGTATAAAGGAGAAAAGAAGTAGAGATTAAGAGAGAGAAAGCTCGGTTAGAGGATACAAAGTTGATTTTCATAAAGCTTTACTTTCTACAAGGGGCACTTATTTTTATCAAGGAATTATATAGTAAGTAGAGGTATTGGGGGGGTGATTTGTATGAAATTTTGTGTGAAATCTGGCATCATAATACTGAAATCAGTATAATATCTACTTAATTCCTACTTCTTACTATGGTAATATGATGATACTCAAAATACAGGTTGGTATATACGTAAAATACAGCCATTAATCAGCTACTTTATGTGCCAAGACTATATCTGTGCACAGAAATGGGCTTTTGATAGGCATTGGTGGGCGCCCATCAATAGGCTGTGGGTCGGGCTGGGCTTTGAAGACTAGGCCCATAGCCCAGTGCAGGTTGGGCTATGGGCTGGGGGCTTGCGCTTGGGCCCATTTATGGGCTATTGAGAGGTCTAGTTAGGACCTCAGGCCATAATGTGTGCTTCTAGGTATAATAAACATATAACGTCGGAGACATCTAACTTTTTCCTTCCTATCCCTCTTTACCCTTTCTTCCACACTGTCCACCTCTTTGCGCAGTAAATTAAACTCCACCCTTCATTCTCTTTCTAGTCACCCATGGCAGTAACATCCTCTATACTAGGTTGCCTGGCGTATGTATCCTGGAATTTGGCCCCAGCCGATCAACAAAGTCAACAAAAGTCATCAAAAGCCACCAAAAGGGATATGAATAATCGGAAGGTGAAACATTGGCTGTACCACTAATAGACACTCCAGTGTACAACACATCATAGTACTAGCTAAATACGGAGCACATGGTAACAAAGAAAAAGCTGGGCTAAGAAAGCCACACGACACGCAATTCATGAATCTAAGAGGCCTAGAACATATAACGTTTAGAATAACGGAGGCTAGTATCTCTATCTATCCTCTAATCTCTGTCGCGTTATGATTAATGACACTCGACATAAGATGTTTGTCTATTGGCATAACTTTCTCTGTTCAGGTTGACGGTTGTAAGGCGTAACATTGGCGTCAAATGGGGCTATTTTCAACTACAGGGCAGTGCAGATGATAACAACACCAATGAGGCTAGCCAGAAGGTAAGAAGCGTATGGCATATACACACATCCCTGCCGGGCAAATCGAGTCCAGGCTCTAGATGGTGTGCTGAAAAGAAATTCAGAGAAAATGGAAGGCTTGATTATATGATAGAACAAGCGAGCGACATATGCTAGTAACTAATCGGTACTAGTGGTGATTCGATTCGCGACTTTTAGCCCCCGGCCCCCGGCCCCCTAAATGTCACCCCTTAAAAGCTGCGACACATAAACCGGACCCCCCCCCCCCCTGGAGGATACAAACCACCCCTGCATGAGAAGGATGGGATGTGATAACGTGGGCACCGCAGCTGGATGTATCCAACCCCAAAATTGTGGGGTCCTGGATGCCTTTGGAACCCATCTCTATCGCGCGAATTAGATACATGTCCTGGGTTCGTAAATGAGATGTGCTCTTTTGTTCGTGGGGTTGGGAGGGTTTACACGTGGGTACCCACTTATGTATGGAAGTATTTTATTTTATTTTATTTTATTTTTTCAAATTGCAAATACAACTTACTTGAATATGTACAAGCTATTCTTTACGTGCTGGTAAGATCGAGTTCGAGGTCAACCTATGTCGAGGGAGCCTACCCTAATGCAGGCTCTATCCGAGTGACCAGGGTATGAGGGCGATCGTACTTAATAACAGTTGGGCACGGTACTATAGGAGAAAATTCAACATATATTTGGTATTTTCCTTCTTTCCTTTCCGTTGCTTTCTTCACTCCAGATATCTCAACTTTGAAACTGCCTTGGGCCAAAGTCCAGATCCACTGAAACCCCTATGAGCAATACAGGGAAGGAGCTACTGTAATGTATGAGGAAGAAGCGACCGAGTATGGCGAGTTGAACTGACGTCGAAAAGGCTTAAGATGATCAACATGGATAGCCCTAAATATTTCATCAGCTGGGGGTCAGAGAGAAACATCACAATAGGACGATTCGAAGCCCTCCGGTCATATCGCCACGATCTCATTCGGTCTTATAGAGATGTCCTCAAGACAGCTCAAACCTTCACACAGCACTTTTCGGAACAGCCGCTAAAAAGTTACGACATGGAAAGGGCGCTGAGCAAGAATATGGGCTGCGACCCTTCATGCTGGAATAAAGATGCAAATAGTCCAACTATTTGTTGGTTGGACATTGTTCGTCACGGAAATTTCCAGCAACAACTTGATGGATGTTATTACTGCTCCATTCAAGGGAGGGTGCTTGAATTCGATCCGGAATTACACGATAGGGTGGAGTTCTGTCGAAGCCATGCCGTCCAAATTTCCAACTCGGGGCCGAGCCGCGCAGATGTGGAAAGGGAAGAGGAGATCACTCTGGAGATATTGACTGATATCTCCGACGAACTAAAAGATCTCGCAAGATGTTAGTACCTCCCATTTACTAATAAACTTGATGCAAGCAGGAATCTAACTGAGACAGGTACGAGAAGTGTAGCAAAGCTTGAACAAGCGATGAAGATACGCCATCGCGAGCTCCAATCCCTCCTAGGCCCTATCACGATTGAATCAAGCGGAGAAGAAACGACTTCCGACGACGATAGCGAGCAGTGTTCGGACGGTTCCTCTGGAGACTCGAGTGAGGATGACGAGATGGATGACAAAAACGAAAATAAGGTCCCAGAAGACAAGGGCCCAGAAGACAAGGGCCCAGAAGACAAGGGCCCAGAAGACAAGGGCCCAGAAGACAAGGGCCCAGAAGACAAGGGCCCAGAAGACGAGGACTTGGGTAACATGGTCTCAGAGGAAAATGGGATACGAGATGACAGTTGCCAGAATGTCTCCAGTCAACAGAGCAACAATAATTCCGATAATGGAGGCAATGCGGCAACAGCTGGTGACAGAGTTGTTCCGTTGGATCCTTTCCCCTTGAGAACTGCATCTTCGACGTCTCTAGCAGGAGAGGGTGAGAATGTCATCTCAACATCTCATATTCCTCTGCCAGGCGACACTGAAAAAGCTGTCTCGGTGAACCCCGTGCCCTCGAGAGATCTATTGCCTATCTATTTACCAACGGAGAGGGAAAACATCCTGACGGATCACATGTTTTCGAAAGATCCCAAGCTGGATATGCACCTATCACTCCCAAAAAGACCCCCGCGCGACGGACGCAAAACCCCTTTTAAAAGTGAGAACTCACCTCCCCAGGTATCTAAGCGGCGGAGATCCGTCATTCCATCGGACCAACAGAAAAAAATACAGAAGAGCGATCGAAAATCTACCCGCCAAGAGAGATTGACTGCTGTTGCCTGGATGAAGGCCAATTCAAACAAAAATTGGAACCAAGTGACATTCGCAAGAAAATACCGCATCAAGTTTGGCCACAAATTTAGCCACACGAGAAGATACGCAACTCTCAAGAGATGGATGGACGACGAAGAGAACTCTCAAGCGGACAGCCATATTGTGGTATTGAAAGTACCGACTATGCGTCTGCGTGAGGAATCATCGAATGGCAATTCTGCAGAGCCAACGCCGGACCTTTCAAATGGCAATACCTACGTGCCATCATCACTTCCACGTGGGCGGTTGGAAGATCCACAGAACAGGGGGGATGGTTATAACGTGGCTTTCTCCCAGATTTGCTAGACCGGAGGATTAAGGGAACCATTTGGTCCCTCCTTAGGGCTGACCATCAGAAGGTATCGTTCAGGTAAAAACCAGCATTGGTCCGAATTCCTGTTGGAAAAGAAATGAAAATAATCACATCTGGCGCTAGGTTTAATTTAAAAGCTTTATACAGCACTGGAAGGATTGGATTATGATAGAAAAGCGAGCTTTCCCTTTGTTTAATATGTTCTTGACGTACAATAGTTAGACTATGGTAATTTTTAATCGATGTGGTAACCTATTAAAACCTTTCCCTCTCGCTTTCGCTTTCGCTTCATCGGTATTCTTTTGGGTGCTAAAGTCAACTGGTGGGTTCAGTCACCCTAGAATTAGTCAATGTCCTTTTTTTTAGGGAATTATTGTTCTTTGCAAGTCATCTTATTGTACAAAAACTGTGTTATTGGATTGGACTTTGGCACCATGATCTTTTCTAAGGTGAATTTCTGTCCCGTCCGAGGCCTCGCGTCAGCTCAAGGCAATCTAAAATTCGTGATCGCTATCGTGCTATGAACAAGGTGCCGAGTATGGTCATCCCCACTCCCTCTATATACTTCTTCTCAGCTTGGGGTGTCAAATCCATTTATAGGATAGAGTTGGGAGTATCTAACATCCCCGAAGGCATAGCTGTACCAGATTATAAGAAGTTTGCCGGTGTGGTGGAAGGAGGTGAGGGTTATTACAGCTTCTGCTGTAACGAGTGGTGACATGGTAGGCGAACAAAGGCTTTTTTTCTTCTTACTAAACTATTTTGAACATAGTTTTGGATGCACCATGGATTGAACGTCCGGGCCGCAACCATTTCAAGTAATCTTGACTCATAGCTGCACTTTACTTGACATTTGGTGAGAATAATAACTTACTTCCTACACACCACAAATCTGAATTTCAATGCTTCATTGAAAAGCTCCGTCAAATTTCATCGAAATATCACCCCTGTTACAACCTTACAATCTGCTTGGAGCCACTTTCTCAATCGAAAGGTCAGTGATTATTGGCTCGATACAGGTGCGTGCGGTAGCTAAGAAATCTCCTAGCTGCTTATCTTAACATTTCTCATTTACACAATCAACACAACATGGATGGTGCCGAAGATAAATTCATTTCTCAACTGGGAACATTCACAAAACTCCCCCTTGAACTTCGTTGGATGATATGGGAAGCTATCTTCGATCAAATACATTCAGCCCCTTTTTCTTTGGCTATTCTATGTTGCAGCCGACATCTCTATCAAGAGATATCAAGTCATCTTTTCGAGAACTTCGAACACGAGTTTCGAGTTGCGGACGGGCTGAGGTTCAATTTCACTACTAAGCAAACGTGCAGCCAAGGATGGGAGTTAAGGGATATCGACGCCGTTCGCAGCCATCTTCATAGCTTTCCTTGGGCAAAAGTTGGGACGGAAATATTTATCAACATCTTACCTCCCCCCGAGGGAGATCCTGGTCAAATTGTGCAAATTTGGCAGAAAGTCAACCAACTTGTCGATATATTAAAAACAACGCGTTCTGCACCTTCGGTACGGGTGACCCTGTTAGACGACTGGTCAAGTAATGAGAAACCGCAAGAGAGTATCCCATATACCAACGGATATCGCCCCGATCATGATATCGCGATTACCCCGTTCACACGACTTTCAAACTGGTATTATCGAATCTCACCGGCCTATTATACCGTGATAGCGACCGAACAAGAGTTACCAGAGGAGTCTCAGTCTCTACTATACAAGGACAGGAAGGATTGTACATCAAACAAGTGGTGTCGCATTACTGCAGCACCTAAGCATTGGCTCACCGATACCCGCATCTTCCTTGATAGAAAACTCGATGATATTCCCGGTAAAATGGCCGGGGCTCTTCGCCTAGAACGATTCCAAACCTGGTTTCAGAATGACTGGGTATCGGAATACGAAAACAGATTCACTACAGATATTCAGAAACACGTAAAGGTTATTCTGAAGCATGACCCAAGATTCCTTGGGGTTAGAAGAAGACACTATCTGGCGATCATGCTTCACCATATCTATCGCGCTTCGCACGATGACCCTGAGAAAGTGGAGGATTCTTGGAAGGAAAAGAGACCTCGAATTTACCGTAAATGGGATCCTCAAGTTTGGGCAGATTGTTGGGGGGACTGTATGCCTAGCCTCAGCTACCGCTTGGCCGATAGCAAGATGGACGCAGAAAATCAGCGTCTTGTGTATCGGGGTTACCGGAGATATACGGTGTTCGGGATGATTTTGGGAGGAGTATTCATGTAGCCTCTACAGGCCTAGTCATGGTTGCAGCAATTGAAGCAAAATCAAAACCCATTTGTCATGTTATAAATCTACAGCTAGGACTTCTACATACTCTGTTGCGAATCCTCATCAGCATTTCAAGATCTTGTTCGCTCTTTTTGACCTAAAATATGTTTACTAACTCCATGCTTCTTGTTCACTTCTTGTTCAATGCTTGTTCACTTCTTGTTCACTTCTTGTTCACTTCTTGTTCACTGTTCTTACCTACCAGGGGCACCTTCCAAGTCCATTACCTTGGGCACCTGGGTAACCTATCGTTACTGTAGATACAATAGTGCCTACCTCATCTATAGTGTAACTACTTTGTTGATCTTGCTGTCTGATTTCTCTTCTTTTTCCTCCCCTCGACTACTTCAATATTACTGCTTGGTTACAGTATACTCTTTCGATAATTCTTTTTTTTTGTTTTATAAAGGGCCTTCCGTAGTTTTGGCACAATGGTAAATTCCTCGCAGTGAGTTGATTTATCGTATTCGATCTGTCCATGCATTACTGACTGAATTTCCAGGGCTAGCGAGAAGAGCGTCAATCAGACGCAAGGTATGTCTCCCCCTCCCGTTGACCCTAATGCTAACATCCCTACAGATAAAGCTGCCTCTGCTAAGGAGTCCAATGCTCCGTCCCCGATCGATGGTGTGGCGTGGTCACTAGATTCAACATCTAGTGGCGTGACCCCCTCGGTCAACAGTATCACCGTTAAGGATCTGCTTCCGGTGATCCAGAAAATGAAAGGGACTCTCGAGCGAAGCCGGTTGATTGTCGATCAAGAGCCGATTGACAATAACGAGGACTTGAAGGGCATGGCCGGTGAGAGCGACGACCCCTGTGGTGATATGGAGGACTTGGAGAGGACCGTCCGATCGGCGGAATTCTACACTCTCTACGGCGATTATATGGGGCGGGTTTGGAATTGCCTCGAACTCACTTCCCGCGATGTCGACGGTTTTTGGCCATCTGGAGTCGTTGCTGTGGCCGAAAAGCTCACGCAGGAGGAGGGGTTTGGGGGAGGGGAAGTCTCAGAGACGCTGGCGGGGGTGTTGCAGCGTCTCGAGAAGCGTGGGCTTTCGGTCAGCAGCGACGTGGCCAAAAAGGCAATCTTTGGATATGCGAAACGCAATCTGATCTGCCACGGAGCTCCCCGTCGTCTCAACGACAAGGACACTCGCAATACAATTGCGAGCCATGTTGCAGGCTTGGAGAGGCTTCTACCGGATGATCAGAAAGCGGATCACAGCCATTGGACACGCCTCGTTAAGCTGTGGAATGAGCGCGGGAGTTACCTGGAGGATATGCGAAAGTCTGCTCCAGAGACTTCGCTATCGCCGGTCCAGGATGCATCTCGTTTCCTCGCCAGCCCGCCCCAAAACGCCAAGGAGAAGGAAGAATTCACACAAGCGCTGGAAACAGGCTTGTTCCAGGACGAGCTGGATCTTCTAAGCCGAGAAGGAGGGCCCCGCAGACAAGATACGCCTCGTCGCACGCGCGAGTCGACGAGGTCCGACCCACTTGACGGTGTGCCCAGTAAGCGGAAGATGGACTTGACTCCCTCGCCATCTTCCCTTCGCCCTCTGAAGCGACAGAAGTGAAGGCTACTTAGCAGAGGTTCCGAATTTCCACGACGACGACGATGGGGGATTGGGGGATTGGGGGATTGTCGGATTGGGAGGGAAGGATGGGGGGTGGCTGGCTGGCTTTTGGTTGGTTGGGTGGGGCTGGCTGGTCGGCGTTTGTTGTTCGATTCTTCTGTAATTTTGTACATAGGTCAGTATAGAGTATATAGAGTAGGTAGAACCCTGGTGACGAGCTCGCACCTTAACGTGGTGCCGGGGTCTAGTAGTCCTCCATGGGCGAAGCCAAGACGAGCTCATTCTTTATAATGTTGATCTTTCTTTCTTTCGTGTGCTTTACTCTATATTAAATCCCAAGTGACCGTGGCTGTTAGAAAAATGGTGGAGAAAGTCATAATCTCATCTACTAGCTAGTAGTATATTCAATAGGTTGAGCCGAGCCCGGGGACTCACTATTGGTCTCATCTCCCAGTCAATCAATATCGTCGCATCTGTGCACCGCACATGGGTGATACCAAGCCTGGGAACTGCCTATGCAGGGAAGGTGAACAACCTTGGAATCGCAATTTGTTGTCGCCATTGAACCTGCCGAGGGATATAGGCACATCTCTATGTAGAGGTTTCGTCACACAATCTGTCACCTGTTGCTTAGAGCTCTGCATTTGCTATTTACAGTTCCTTTACAAATTGAGACCCCGACTCCACCAACGGTTTTTCATCTTATAACACTCTGGGCAACAGATCACACGGCCGTTCTCTCGTCAAACCATGCGCCCTTTGGGCTCAAAGGCCCCATAGTACCCAAATCACCCACAAAAATATGCTCCTTAAATCAACACGTACTGCTCAAAATTCTTACAAACAACCCAAACCATTTCAAACAGTGATTATGATTCCTGAGGGAAGAGGGAAGAGCTATTAAAGATCAAAGCGATGAATAATTCCGCAGAGTGTTCACAGAATGCATTCTGTCGAGCCTCCCTCGACGTGCTCCTCCACATGATCCCTGAGATATTTTCCTTGAACAGCACCCCGAGACTTACCTTTTGGTGTGTCATAGCAAAGATGGGTTTGTTAACCGACTGGAATGTGGAATGCTGAAGATTGCATTCCCCTGGGCTAAGGGGTTGAAAATGTCAATATGACTGTGCCTGTCATCAATTCTATGGTGGCTGTGACTCCGGCATCTTTGAACACCGAAGACTTACATCCTACTAGATATACTCATTTCACTCTATTGGGAGAGGTCTACTGTATGAGTCGTCGAAGTGTAAGCTTTCTTGAGAAATGAGATTGTTGCTAGAAGCCAGGTTCTAAACTACTGAATTTGAGATTTGACACACTTGACTCTTTCCATAAAATGCCCAAAGTGTAGGTTCTGATAACTTTCTCCAGGAGTTGCGTGGCATCTTTTCAAGCTAAGATATACTTGGCGCCAGAGTCAGCCCCGACAAAATCCCTCTATTGCGATTCGGAACAAAGGGCAAGCAAGCCGAGCGAGCAGATGATCAATCAAGTCCATATAGCTTCACGAGAAGATATAATAACCGAACGGGCTCGAAATCTAGGCTGAGCGACATCTACATCTCGCCAGCAATGAACAATAAAGAAAAATTCCTCCACTCAGTTAGACTGATGACGCGTGTACTCCTTATTGGTAGTCCAATCCCAATAAACACCGTTAGCCCCATCCCCCTCCATGATCCAAGCATCACATCCCGCCAGGAACGGCTTCTCAAAGTCATCCTTGAAGTTGGCCGCCTTGTAAAATTCTATCGTCTTGTCCTTGTCCATTTCACAGATTGGTCCGCACCAGTATGGGCGTTCATCAAACCCGTACGGGTGGAGGATATCCCCCTTCTTCGAGTAAATATAGTCAGGGTTGTTGATAGTTTTACCAATATCACACACAGGGATAGTCCAGAGACCTTCCATGCTCGCACCCTCCGAGTAAACGTTAGCACCGGAAGCGAAGATGTCGCCCATACGACTGGTAAAAGTCGACACGCTGTAGTTGTTGCCAGCAGCCTGGAAGGACTTGAGAGAGGACTTGATGGCGTCCTAAAGAGGCGAAAAGGTTAGTATGCAATGTATATTATGTGCTTGTTGGGATCACATACCAATGGGTTGAGATTCTTCCAGAATGGCCCGGCGCCGCCATCCTTCTCGTACAGAGGAGATGCGCCCATGCGATCTGATCCCCAGGGCCGAGCAACCCATCCATCATGCTTCGACGATGCGACCTTCTGCCTCTGCCAGTAGTACAGATACCAGGCGTGGTTGTTCTCATCGCAGATAACATTGTCGCCGGAGTCTGCAATACCTCGGCCGATATCCTGGCCATCGCCGCAGTCGCCACCACCGAGAATAAACACACGCTGCATACGCCATAGAGAGTTGATCATCATCGACTGCATGATGGCGATCATGGAAGCCCGAGCTCCGTTCTTCTGCAGTCCCGGGTAGTTGACCCACGCTCCGCCTTGGAGGTAATTGCGGATATCGCCACCAGAGTTTCCGTAGCCGTGTCCGAGCATCAGCTCGTTGTTGGTACTAATGAATGAGCCTGCGATATCAGTCACCGCCTGCGCCATAATATGGCCGAGATTGGCCTGTGTGATATCAGACGTGTCTCTGTACAAGAACAGGTTAGTAATCGTTATAGTCAGAGATCCATCTCTCTCGGCTAGGGAGGGACTCACGTTGAAGAAATAGCTAGAGTGGCTGCACCAACTCCACCGCTAAACATGCCCGAGGCTGCTCCCGCGATGACGGGTACAAGAGTACCCTCCATCATGGACGAAAGAGCAGGCGCACCTAAACCGGTAACGGCGACACCAAGCACGGTGGCGATTGCATTCATGATCTCCTTTAGGACCGTTGGATCCCACGCATTCTCATCATGCCAGAAGTTATTCACGATCTCATCGTTGTCGAGGGCCGCAACGACGGCAGCGATATTGAACGATTGCTCCAGGCCCAAGAAGAAGCCGTGGAGGTTATTGAGCGCCTGCAGAACATAGTACGTTTCCTCGGTACTCTTGCCTAGGGCGTTAATCTTGGGGTTATTGCAGACCGGGATATCGCAGTTGGCGTCGTTGCCGTTATTCTGGCACGACCAGCCAGGCTGGCCTAGTGCGTATTGGCCGAAAGCACCGGCGAATCCGTGTGCATTGCTTGTCCGTTTGTCGGCGTTCTCGGTCCACCAGTCATTAAGCCAGTCGTCCGTCTTAGCCTTGGTCCATTTCTCAATGGTAGGATTTTTTGTGAACTCTCCGACTGGACCGCAGGGGTCATCACTGTTGTCTCGGATACTTTTGTTGGAGAAGGGGCCGTAGGGGACGGCCGTTGCTTGGAGGACAACCGTTGCCCATGTGCCCATGGAAAGTAGAATAGATGCGGAAAACATGTCACTGAACAGTCTAGACTAGACCGAATGTCCGACTACTTCTGATGTGAAAGATGAGTCTTCTGGATATCCTGAGGTATTTTGAGGTATTTCAAGGTTCATATATGTTGATAATTGCCGCTATCAACAATAGGGAAAGTGGATTTGGGGTACGATCGACAATATCTTTATTCTCTTGGCAGTCTGGGCATCTGCAGGGGAATTAGCACTTTCTATAAAAGCACATAGCGCGAGAACAGCAAAACTGTGCCAGTCATTTTATTTCCTGCAGTAGACATGTGGATGTGGATATGAAGTGCTCTCTCATAATATCAACTCTCCATTCTATATGCCCCAGAGTATCAAATTGCTGCTAGATGATTTCGGACCAGGAGATTGCCGGGGAGCGGTAGTTTATCGCTACATCAGTCAACATAATTCGAACCAAAAATTTAGCCGGACTTCGAGGTACTCATTCATGGATTCAGGACATTGTTCAGAACATACCAAACCATTAGACCGCGGCGAATTCTTATTGAGAGACAAATCCAGTGGACCAAATTTTAGCTTGGCGTCGTCGATATTACCGATCAGTTCAATGTCATCTAAAGCGAACCTTGTAACGCCCTTCTTGCTGATCAGGGCTGGTGGAGAAGACAAAATTATCTTTTCGATAGGACGTGGCGATTAATGGTCCTCACTTATTGCATAGGGTTGCAATGGCTGCTTGGCATCAACATTTCCATGTTTGGCCCCCAGCCGCAATCCCTTGTTGTTGCGTTTGGATCGAGGTTGAGCTCACCGGCATAATCATTAGGTAGTACGCGTGGGGCTGTATGGGGTTGGTTTGAGATGAAGTGTTTTGGAAGGAAGATGCATTGCATTCCGAGATTTTGAGCAGAGATAGACCAATATATAAGTATGGAAGAATAAAACTTGCTAATATCCGTCACTTGTTTGTCTGACGAACGAGACATCGCGAATTGAACACGATCTAAAAGCATCTCAGCCGTGGCTTAAGCCCCCAGAATTAATGTATGACTTGTTTATCTCTTATTCGTCAGACTAGCCAATCTACGTCTAATTTTACAATATATAGGTGCGGAGTACATAGACAGTGATTAGCCAGCCCGAATCCAACCCTAAACCCATATTGGTTACCCATGGGGCACCATCAACCGTTTTTCACTGTATGAATTTCCTAATCAGGCTATGCCAAGACGTGTAGATCTGCTAGTGCAAATTAAAGAAGTTTTGTCTGTTGCAGTTTTGGTCTCCGCAGGATCTCGCAAGATCCACTCATCACTGGTGTCGCGTGGCTTGGGAAACGAATGTAAAAAGACATTTACTCTCGTTTGGCCAAAGGGATTTGTAGAGATAACCCATAGACAAAGATCATTGTTCATAGGATTTAAATCGCACTGTGTTGATATGGTATCACGAGAGGACTGCTAAGCAGTCGAAAAGCACTTTATGCGGGGTAATATAGCAAATCTTAGTCGCCCCCCGAGCGAAACGAGAAAGTTCTACTAATCCCAAGTTTTGGCAAAATATACATGCATTTCAGTGCGAAATTTCTAGATAAACTGTTTTAGGAATACAATAAATCATGAACGTAGAACAGACTTGTCTATCAGGCATAAGATTTCAAAAGCCAACGCCTTTTATTCCCTCTTTTTCGAAGACGGTTTGGGGAACTTTCGCGTCCGACGACGTAGCACCTCCATTCGTTCCTCCATGGTCCAGTTAACTTGATCACCGATAGGGATCATACATTTAGCCAAGAACTCGTAGTTCTTCCGAAGCAGATTCACAGTAATGAAAATGTAATCGACGTTTCGGAAGACCAGAGCATCTTCCTTGGCATAGACATCCTTCTGCTTGAGGAACGCGACAGGGTGATCTCTCCAGTGGCGACGCGGGTTCAAGTGGTGAGAAGTGTGGTAGCCGTCATTGAAAGAGAATCGGTTACTCTATTATTTGTTAGTCTCGATCCCACATGTTAAACAGGATGGTTGAAACTCACCGGAACATCAATCAATGTGATACTGGACAGGTAATCCGAATCAGGGTCGGCGGGATCCACAAAAGCATGCTGGCCCCAGTTACCGACCATCAAGCCCAGGCGCATGACAGTGAGGGGAAGAATGAACACGAACGTGGTAGCGCGCGCATTGACGTAGTTGTAGAGCATGTAAATAGCAACGTAGCTACCTACCTCCCAGAAGGCACATTTGGCTGCATACTTGAACTGGCCCTTTCTCCAGAAGTACATTGGGAGTTCCAGCCAGATGAAAAGGATGAACCGGCCCACATAGGTTAGGAAGTCAGGGACGCTGTCGCGGTCGTAGTACATTGTTGTGCTCAAGTCGTCCCCACCGTTACCCTCAACGTGGTGGTGCTTGATGTGGTGGTAATAGTAAGAGTTCCACGTGTGTCCGTGCATGGGGTCCAGCAGGTACGGGAAAAGCGTGTCGAATAGATATAATTTTGAATTCAAGACTCCATTCATGTGGATGTGTTGGTGCTTCATCAGGGTGAAAGCGCCACAATAGAAGCCTTGCATGAGCCAGTGCAAGGCACCGTGGAGGTAAGAAAATCGGTAATATAGGAATGCAGCACTTGGGACAATAGTGGTGAAGTAGAGAATAAGGTGCGTTACCATGACCACATCGGTCTGGTATCGCACGATGCCCTTTGCCCAGTTGATGTATGGCGTGAGCACGTACTTCTGGATGGGGGCGGGTAGCTTGGCCCGCAGCAGCGGGGTATCCCAGAATTGGGAGATGGTGGGATCAAATTCTACATGAGAAGGATCGTTGAGATTGTGAAGCTTTTGGATTGTCTCTTCCGTGCTCAGCTTGTCCAATGACTGTGCACTTGTTTTGTCTGGATTTTTGTTAGTTTAGTATTTGATCGACAATGCAGGAGCGTTACCATTTGAATTGGGTTGAGGCTCAACGATAGCATCGATCACCAGCCGATCTTGGTATGTGAGCTGGGGATCTGTGTATGTAGAGGGATCCATGATGCCTTAGTACGGCAAAGCAGTGCTAGTCTTGTCAATGTCCAATGTCCAATGTCAAATGTAATCTAACAGGTAGGCACTAACCCGTGTCCAAGAGTGTCTTGGTTGTAACAAGAATTCGATAATTTCCGGAATTTCAGGGTTTATAAAGAACATAGAATGATCGATGCCTAGCGAGTACGCTGGATAATTTCCCAATCAGACAACGCGTCAGGGGCGCGAAGAGATTTCGGGATTCAACTGTGGGTCCTGGGAAGTTATGTGAAGTGTCAAAACAACCTTTTGAACGTTTCTAACATTCGATCGAGTATTTTCAATTATAGATTCAACTATCCGTTGGTGTCCGACAGTAGTAGTTTCGCTATTAATGAATCATGACTTGTGGTCTGTATATCATTCCACTCTGATTCAGGGGGCTCTTGAGCGGGAAACATTTCCCCCTGAACAACCCAGCAACTTAACCCGACTTAACACTTCGCGAAGAGATCTCCAGCTAATGTACAATCGGTATGCATGTAGAAATATACAGCTTGAATTTACAAAACCTTGGTAATTCGTAGGTTTTGGCGAATAGGATTTATGATAATTTACATTTCCTGTGGGGGTGGCCCTAGGCACAGCATTTCGAAGGTCTAAAAATAGGGGACCAAATGAGTAATACAAAGCGACATCTGGCTTTAATATCCAAGAGTTGTTATGGCAGTTACATCTATGGGTGGGAAGGGTAACATCTTCTATGCTGGAGGACTTCAAAGACCCTGGTGTACAATACCTCGTCTAGGCTGAAAAGGCCACTGCATCGTAGAAGTTGACCCAAGAACCTGACCGGCTCTATCCAGAGCACTGACAAAGAAATACCGGCCCATCGGGTTGGTAAGAACTGGTATCTCCGTCTCAAAGCCGTCTTTAGGAAATATCCCCAAGAAGACTGATCCTCCCCCGACACCCTCAATATCGGTCCCATTCAGAGACCACATAGCCACTTCCGTGGCTCCATTCCAACTCACATACACTCGTCTATCATCCACAGAAATCCCCGGCATGGTCTGAGGATGACCAACCCAGGGACTCTTCGAGATCCGGTAGCTGCGAATTTCCCCGCTGTTGAAGAATGTCTCAGGACCCATATGAACATTGCAGAGCAGAGATCCGTTCGAGGCGTATTCGGCCCAGTTCGCGTTCGGCCCAAAGCCTAGAACCACATTGCCGCTATCCAGAATCTGCATCGATCCACTGTTGTCCGTGAGAACACTATTCGGACTAATGTATTCATGCTGCAACTGCACAGTCATCTTCTCTGTGTCCAGAACCACCGTCAGGCCCCGGGTTGGACCTGTTACTGGACGACCAGGGCAGTTCCCGTTGTCGAAAATTGAAACAATCCGGCCATTTTCGTGGAACCGGGCATGGTGCTGACCATTGAAATCTGTCGCGGCGCCACCAGATAGGTCTTTGAACATATTTCCTTTTCCTCCTAACTTCCAGATCACAGCACCGGTTCGACCATCCACATAGACAATAGAGCTCATCATTCGACAGGAGATGAGGTAATTGCCAAGATCGTCTTTCTCGATACTGTTGACATGGAACAGATCCGGCGCTGTCTTTTCGCTTTTGCCATCGCCCGGCTGGAAGTGATAGTACTCCTCAAAGGTATAATGGTCCGAAGCTCGCCACTCGAATAGCACCTCTCCTGTCTGGACTTCGATCTCCTGGAACCCCGCATCAAAAATGAATTCGACTTCCGGTGGTGCCTCGAATGCCGTTTGGTTCACCGCGAAGACACCATTGATAACCAGCAGTGCCGTCCCTGAGGGGCTCAAGGTCAACTCGTGGGCATCGAGCTGCCATCCGTTTCCTGAACGGATTTGGTAAACTTCCTCGTAGCGGGAGTTTATCTAAAGGACATTAGAGCCATTCTACGATGCTGCCAATCGGCAACTCACCAATGCATAATAGCTTGAGTCTTCAGAAAGGGAGACAATATAGTCTT